CGTTTTTATTAAAACGGATCTTTAGTCAAAAGTGCATCTTTTACCCCTTTCTTCTTGCTTCTTCCTTATCGTCCCCGACCCGACTTAGCCCTAATTTTGCACCGGCCACCATCTCCGGTAATTCTTGCCCTAATTAGGCCATTCCTTCCTTTTTCTTTTTGTAAGCTACCTCTTACAATTAATTAGGCCATTCCTTCCACTTTCTCTGGTAGTTCCAGATAATTATTTGACGTTCGGGAAGGGAGTGAGGGATGGTGAAGCAGAGCATTTTCAGGGAGGATTCTGTCATTGTCCAGAAGCTGAAGGGACCGTGTGGGCTAGTCTATAGGAAATTGAGGTTCTTGAATGAGTACTTGCCTGAGGATCGTGATCCTGTTCATTCCTGGACTGCCATTCTTCTCGTTTTGTTTCTAGCATTTACCGGTACTGGCTGTAGTTTTTGTTCCTTTGTTTGTTGGTTTGATGTTTTGTGTTTCTGAGATTATTCTACTGTGATCGGTTAACTCATAATTGTCCTGATTGTCATGATTTTGTTCTACTTTGTCTGTTTATGGTCGGTTAACTCATAATTACCGGTTAAGTCATAATTACCGGTACTTGCCGGAGATTATTCTACTTTGTTTGTTGGTTTGATGTTTCTATTCTGCCATGATTGTCCTGCTTTTGCTTAGTCGATTGTCTTTGAGGTCCATGCATATAGGATTTTTACATTCCTCTATAGTATCCAGTTAAAGGCAATTATTCTGTTTGTTAGTTTTGCAATTATTATGTTTGTTAGTTTTACATTCCTCTAAAAAATACTAATCATCTTTGTTAGTTTTGCAATTATTCTGTTTATGGTCGAACCTTGCGTGATATATCTTAGGATTTTCCAGTTAAGGGCAACTTAACTTGTTCTTTGCTTCGACTCTATAGTATCCATAGATGAATGAAACACATATAGTACAGTACTTACTGGTAGATTCATCAGAAGATTGAAGGTTGCCTTCTCATTGACTAAGGTCTCTAAGTGATGAAGATAATTTTTCTGAAATAAATTGTCTAAACTCACTGGTTTAAGTTCTCAGTGGACCATACTAATAGCTTTTTTTGGTTTTTGCAGTAATATGGCTAGTTCTTGTTCGTCGCAAGCCCCAAAATTCACAAATAAGGGTCCGATCGACTCTACACTTCTTTATCTTCAGGGTGATCATCGATCTGATTTCGTTTGGAACAGTGAGCCGAGATTCATTTTATGAACACCATAAGTGTAGATGATTTGAAAATCTACTTTGGGAGCTGTACGCAATGACCAATGACACAGTTAAAGCTTACGTGGCTAAAATGGGTTTTGGGTACTTCCTCGAGACGGGTCTCATCCGATTAGACAACTCCCTTGTGACAGCATTGGTTGAAAGATGGCGGCCCGAAACACATACATTTTACTTCCCAATGGGGGAAGCAACAATTACACTCCAAGATGTCGAAGTTCTTTTGGGACTGAGAATTGATGAAAATCCTGTAACTGGCCAAGATTCGCCACCAGCTAGTTGAGTTCCAATGTGCCAGGAGCTTTTGGGATTCACACCCAAATTGAAAAAAGGGTCCAACCAACTTATAATCACTTCGCTGGCATATGAGTGTAAGCGAAAACTTCCCGCAGATGTCTCAGATGATGCCTGCCAGAAAAGGGCTCGGGTTTTTGTTCTGTGGGCTATTGGAGGTTCACTATTTCTGGATACAACCGGAAATACTGTGCCTTTGCTTTATTTGCCCTTACTGAAGGATTTTAAGTCTTGTAAAAAACTAAGTTGGGGGAGTGCATGTCTTGCGGTGTTGTATAAAAATCTTTGTAAAGCATCAAAAAGGACAAAATGGGATATAGGTGGATGCCTAATTCTTTTGCAGGTAGAACTCGATTTACTTTATTTTTTCCTTTTATGTATAATAGTTTGTGTTCTTTTAACCTAACATGTGTTCGTTTACAGATGGGCTTATGAGCGAATCCCAAGGATTCGCCCCATGAGGAAAAATCCGGAAGACGACGATCACACCTTGGCCTTGGGTTCAAGATAGAGGTGTTCATTGGATTTTTTGCAGGTGGCCTCTCACTGTCTCCCAGCACAACGAGATCAACTCGCGAGCCTTAGGAAGGTTTAAGATGTAAGGGTTTCTAATTTTATATTTGATTAAATTCTTTTGAATGAATTTGGACTTAATGAATATATGGCTTTTGCACTATTTTTGTAGAAATGTGGTTTAGTTAATATGCTACTTTACAATGCACAAAGAAAGCTGCCTCTTTTTTTTTTTTTAACAATCTGTTATAATAAAGCAAATTAGGTCATTCCTTCCGTTTTCTTTTTGTAAGCTGCCTCTTACAATTAATTAGGCCATTGCTTCATTTTTCTTCCATTCTTTCTGTTATCTTAAAATTTCATGTGTGTGTGTGTGTGTGGGTGGTTCTGTGCAACAGAATTGTCCCTCCCAGACAACAAAAAAAAGAAAAAAAAAAGCATTTTCTTTTGTATTTTGTTCCTTTTGGCCAAAATGTCTCCATTCCTTTTGTATTCTGTTCTGACAGCCTTGATTGTATGTTCTGTTTTTTATTTTAGTTTATTTGGCAACCTTATGAAGGAGTGGAGATACCTGAAAGATGTACACGGGGTCGGGATCATTGACAATCCAACACTTGGCTAATTTGATGGGATATTGTTGAACCGCATCAAGTTGACCGTGTGATGCGACAATTTGGCTTGAAACAATTGATCCCACCACAACCAATGATCGCTGGTTTTGAAGAATGGAAAAAGTTGCACAAGTATGGTAGGACTGGAAGAGCTGGAAACAATTGGGAGTTTCATCATCGTGAATACATCGAAAAATGGAACAACAGGGCGGACTCCATTGTGGCTGGGTCTCCGAGTGGTCAATCCTCAACCGATAATGATTATCTCCCGTGGTATAAAAGTAATACCATCAAATTTATCAAGGATCCCAATAAGTACAACTTTCAGGAGGAAGGGTATCTGAACATTCGGATCGTGCAAAATTCTATGTAAGTATTTTTCTTTTTATCTCTTATCTTCTTTTTTTTTTTTAAGGCTGGCTTCTTTTTTTCTTGAGAATAAATGCATTTGCATCTTCATTGTGCTCTGATTTGTATGATTTGTTTGTGGCATCTTAACTATATGTATGATTTAGGGTGTTGTAGTTTACCTGTTCTGCACTTTGTTGTTGGTGCTACATAGTGGTATATTCTGTAGAAATGGTGTTGCGCTTGTGGATCCATATTGTTGTTTTCTGCTTTCAAGTTCCATTTTTAAATTGTATTTTAAATTGTAAACTTGTAATTGCTGTTAAAAAGTACGGTGGTCTATGTGCAAGATTAAAAAAAAAAAAAGTCTAGCAACCTTATCTTTTCAGTTTTGTGCAAAATCCATTTCAATCCCCCTTGAATGGGTCTAGAAGTTTTTCAGTAAATTTTGGTGATTTTTGTGTTTTTAGTAGTTTCATATTAATTGTACGTTGTTAGTTCATCTTTCATTTTAGTGTGGGTTGATTTATGCTCCTTTTCACATGAATTTTCAGGCTGATGCTTTGAGCGATATCTGCAAAAAGGTAGAAGACTACAACAAATCAGAAGATGTCTGCCAAAATTCAGTTTGTATGAATATCCTTCTTGAACTCACTTCTCATTCTATGAGTGCTTTATCCCTTAGAGCACATGAGATGCCAATTTTGAAACCCACATAATCACTTGTTGATCTTCAACCACAACCTTCTCAACCGGTTGGCAAAGTTCGCAAACGAAACATTCCTCACCGTGGGATTGGAGGAGGCAGGCAGAAAATCGTTGAAGAAGAAAAACCACAAGATGATCGTCGGATTGGAGGAGCCAGGCAGAAAATCGAGGAAGAAGGAGAACCAGAATTTGATTTTGAACTCAATGCCGACTTGTTTCAAACTCCAACCCCCCAGAATCAGGACGAAGCCAACCAAGAAGGTGAATCTACAAATATGGATGTGGATGTGGATGTGGAATCTAGTCTACCTTTGGCGTTAGCAAGGCCGCGTAGAAAAATAAAGAAAGTCAATCACTACACGCCATCCACTGCCCAACCCGAGCCACTGCTAGAGGAGGAGGAATTGTAATGGCTTCATTTTGTTGATAATCTACTTTTGATTAACGTTTAGTGATGTAGTCTTTTATTTAAACATGTTACAATTGCAATATTTTGTTGAATTGATGTGTGAATTCAAGGGTTATGTTGAGTTGAGGCTGCTGTTGGTGTTGTTTTGGTCCTGTATGGTAACTATTTTTCAATAGATTTAAACAGGTTTGCAATTGCAGACCTGTTCTGTTTTTTTCTGTATACAGGTTTAAAAACGGATTTCGACATTCCGTTTTTCGTTCAAAATACTTTCTTAAAACGGATTTTAGATTTCCGTTTTGTATTTCTGATAAAAAATTATTTCACATTATGCTGAGACAAATTCGATAAAAATTGACAAGTGAAAAAAGGAATAAAAGTTTCCGTTTTTGTTAATCAAACAAATTATAAAGTACTAATTACAACTAATTCTTAAAAGACGGAATTTGAAAATCCGTTTTGTGAACATTACATGTAAAAATGGAAATTCTATTTCCGGCAAATATTTTTTCTGACCACTCCCTCAGACAGCTTTATTTCAGTCGACTCCTTCTATTTGGGACATATTTTGGGCTTTGACACTAATCTAATGGCTTGCGCCAATCAAAGCAGCAACTAATAGCCAGTTTGATCAAGTAATGAAACAATCATCATGCATTAAATGGTTCAACAGTGCATCAAAAAGCGACAAGTAGTTCGATACATAAAAGAGCTTAAGCAATGTTCAGTCATTCATTACTATATAAAGTTCAGTACCTACACTGCTAGCTCAACGCAAACATTCCGTCATTGATAACATATAAAGTTTAAAAGAAGTTTCAACAGGCATAACACTGCTAGCTCTAACACATCATCTTCATGATAGAATCAAGAGGGTGCTCTTCCTTTTCTTCCTCGAATCTTGGATGAAACACTCCTTGCAATCAACAGGATGGTGCTCCCCCTTTCTTCTGACCAAGAGCGTCCTCCTCCTTTCTTCCTCCAATCATGCACGGTAGTAGTCTTGCGACCAAGGGAATGATTCTCCTTTTCTCCGTCCGACCAATAGGGCGGTGCTCCTTTCTTCCTCCAATCACGACGCTCTCCTTGTGCCCAAAATGGTGCTCCTCCTTTCTTGAAACATTCACTTAAATACTTGCTGTATGTGCGACTACTGCCATGGTACATATGGTAGCGGCTACAACAACTAAGTTCGCAAGGCTCATCAGGACTAAAACTTAACAGAGCCAAGTCTTTCCGTACGCAAGATACAAACCCTCTATCCACCTCAACTCCCTCATTATCTCTCCCCATATGCTTATAAATAACGTACTGACCTAGAAAAGTTTGCTTCTTGCCGCAAACATCAGATGCTTTGAAGGTGATATAATATAGCGAATAAAAAGGTGTGGTGGAAACAGCCATCTTCTCAACCACATGATCATAAACATATTGCTGCAAATACACATCAGAAACTAAATTGACCATTGCTGCACACATACATCAGAAACTAAATTAACCGGGAATATGCGCAAACAGAGCCAGGCTGAAGTGTGATGTTTAAAACCAGGAATACGTGCAAACAAAGGCAGGCTGAAATGTCACTGGCGCAATCAAACTCTACCAATTATGTTCATTATGTATTCTTTTGAATCAAAAGTATTGTAAACAAAGAGACAAATACCTCCTGCTCATGTTCTTCATTGTAAACATCAATGCAATCTTGGGCCATCTCATGGACCTCGGGTGAAATTGAATCATCTTGTTTGAAATTGAAAGGCAAGATTGTGGCCTTGAACTTATAAGGCAGGACTGTTTCTGCTTCTTTGTTGCGGTTGAAACCAGGAGGCCAGGTGATGTCCAAACCCTGACAAAACAGGGTGCGAGAGAGTGAGTGAAACCTAGGAATAAGAAGGTAGGCCTAATCTGATCATAAAGGAGAAGCAAGAAGAGGAGCCATATATTAAAAGTAAGTAACCTGGGAATCGTGCATTGACTTGAAGTACGCCTTCCACTGATTCAGATCCTTCACCCACTGATCCATAACCCATTCCGGCACACTGTCAGAACTGAAGGGATAATTTTTATGTGGTAAAATCAATGATGATTCCTCTAACTCTTTCTCCATCTTCTCTGAAAAACGCGAAATTCCCCAAGCCTTCTTATGCCTTGGTTTTTTGGCTGCCGCTTCCATGGCTTTTTGTGTTTCTTTCACCTCTTCTTCCACCGCCAAAAGCTTCATATGTGCTTTGTGGACCCAACCCGAAGCTTCAGTAACCGATCCCTGAGTTGTAATTGATCGAGCCGATGAAATCAGCGACCGTACCATGGATCCAGATACAGCTTGGTCGGAAAAGATCTAGACCCCTTCACCCCTCGAAACAGGCACATCTTGGTAGATCTCTACACTGCTGCCCCTCATACGAAACTGGCTTTTACATCGGAATGGATGGAACGGGTCGACTGCACCCGACGACGATGAATCAGGCCCTTCTCTTCTCTTTCGTTTTGAAACCCTGATGTTCACGAATGTTTCCATAGATTTTTACATATAACGAAATTGATGATAACGCTAATACCATAATAAAAATTTAAAAAGAAAAAAAAGATGGTGATTTAAGGAATTGTTGAATACCGCACTTTTTTACTAAATACCGTCTTTTTCAAAGTCGAGCATCATCTCAAAGGTCCATATATATATATATATATATATATATATATATATGCTGAATACCGCACTCTTTTACTAAATACCGTCTTTTTCAAAGTCGAGCATCATCTCAAAGGTCCATATATATATATATATATATATATATATATATATATATATATATATATACCAGTGATGTCTGGTCGCGCAATGCGCGACTCTGGCCCAATATATCTGTAGATTTTAGAAATATTTGTATCTGGAAAAAAAACTATTTTGTATTTGGGTCGATATATTTTAGAAATGTTTGAAAAATTTAGAAATGTTCTATAAGTGCGATCATAGAAATGTTCGTATTTGGCATAAAAAGAAATTGTATTTGGCCCGGTACTTTTTAGAAATGTTTGAAGATTTTAAAAATGTTTTATAAGTTTTACTTCTTAAATATAAATAAACTTGATCAAATATATGTCTTGAAGTAAATGCAAGACAAAATATAAAAGCATCCTCATAAGTTTAAATATTAGTAAGATAATTTATTGATGTTCTCCATTGGTTGTGCCAAATCGATACTTAGTTTTGGAGATTTATAATAACTTTGTAGTAAGCTTCCTCCAAAGGGTATACGCTTAATTGTTAAAACTATTTCTTCCAAAAGTTTATAGGTAGTAAAATATCAAAAATATGATTTTGAAACTGGTTAATTGTTGAAACTGGTTGATCACAAATATGAGAATGAAAATAATGTAAATTTACATAGGTTTCAAGTTATAGCAAAAAACAACTCACCTCACCATGGAAAATTAAAAAAAAAAAGATAGCCCATTAAAAATTGAGAAATTTATTTTTTCTGTAGATAAAAATGATGTATAAAAACACAAATAAACGTAGAAAAATCATTCCTTCCCTCTCCACCTCAAATTCATAGAAAACTTCCCCATAAATTAGTTAGAAGAAACGACCTGAACTATTTATATGATGAGGAACTAAAAAAAGCCCAAAAATCAAATCCAAAAAAGTATATTCTTGAAAGACTGAACCCAAAAAAAAGCGCTTCATTTGTAAATAAAATAAAATAATAATAATAATAATTGGTCAACTGGGAGTATGAAACAAAATCAAAAGTAATTAAACAAAGAAAAAACATACTTCATAACTGACCATATACGAAAAAAAAAAACCTGAGACTCCATAATTAAAAAAAAAAAAAAACCAGTCTAATTGAATGAAACATAAGAAAGAAATTTAAAAAACCACACTTTGTAACAAAAACTCAATTAACCAATTCAATACAAACAGAACTAAAATCATACAAAAATTCTAGCCTAACTAACCATATAAGAAATCACATCATATTACCTAACAGTGGCTACGGTAGCTGTAACAGATGAACGCATAAAAATAATAGTAATAACACTATTCTTGAACGGGAAAAACAAAAAATAATAAAAGCCAAACAAATGATCTGTTGAAATAAAATCATTTAAATTTTAATACATGTAATGGCACCACCATAATGGCCGAAGCAAGATCAATGAGAATTTTTTTTTCCCTTTATTTTATATAGTGAGGTAAAGAGAATATTTTTTGAACTCGAAATTTTATCAAATTAGGATGTAGTTGATCATCACCAATGAAAAAATTTAACATGGTAATAGGAAAGGAGTATATTTCACCACATATTCTCAATTGATGATTGATGAGAAATTTGTTTTTTTTTTATTGTGGAGAAGGGATTGATTAGGGAGTCGATTGTCGTGGAGATGGGGATGAGGATTTGGGTTTTTTATGAACACGTGATTTTTTTTTTGGCGAAAATAGGAGGTGAAGGTGGATTTGGACTGCATTTGCCTTTTAAGTCTAGAAGATGTGTAAATAAAAATTTATTTTAAAAATATGATGTGGAAATGCCACATGGCAAATGGTGGTGCTTTCTCTAAAGTGTGGTTTTTGTTTCTAATATAGTAAGATATATATATATATTTGGTGACCAAAAAGTCCCAAAATGAACTTTGCTCTATACTTATTTACATATATATATACATATATTTTGGTGACCAAAAAGTCCCAAAATGAACTTTGCTCTATACTTATGGATTGATGACTGTAAAAACGTTTTCTCAATGTTGTTTTCTTGTCTGTACAACATAATATATATAGGACTACAATCCATAAAACCTTAACTTTATTTCCATATATAACTATTTTATCATCCCCCGCAATCGTAGCAGGATTAGAGATCATGCCTAGATTGGTTCGAAACAAGTAAAATTATCCTTAGCTAATGACTTGGTAAAGACATCGGCGAGTTGAGACTGTGTAGAAATATGGAGAACGTTGAGATGACCATCGGCAACAGGATCACAAACAAAATGAATATCCAGCTCAATGTGCTTGGTTCTGGCATGATTAACAGGATTAGCAGCCAAGTAAGTAGCAGAGATATTATCACACAGTATGACAGGAGGTTGAGGAAGCTTAATGTGAAGCTCAGATAGAAGGTGCTCCAACCAAATAGTTTCAGCTAAAGCAGTTGCAACAGCATGATATTCGGACTCAGCGGAGGATCTCGAAACAATAGATTACTTTTTGGATGACCAAGAGACCAGGGACGAACCCAAAAAAACACAAAAACCAGTGGTTGAACGTCTGGCTGTAGGACACCCATCCCAGTCAGCATCAGAAAAAGTCGCAATACGATCAAGAGGACCAGCTTGTAGATGAATACCATAATGTAAAGTACCCTTGATATACCGTAAAATGCGCTTGATTGCCTTATAATGTTGCTCTCTAGGATCATGCATATGCTGATAGACAAGATTAACTGCATACTGGATGTCCAGTCGAGTGAAGGTGAGATATTGTAAGGCACCCACCAAGCTTCGATATAAAGTCGGATTGTGAAAAGGTGGAGACTTATCAACAGAAAACTGAAAAGCTGGAGCAAGTGGAGTGGCAACAGGGTTAGCATCAGTAAGATGACTGCGCGACAGTAATTCCTCAGCATACTTGCGTTGATGCAAAAACCAACCATTAGACTGGGGGGGAGATAGAGACGCCTAAGAAGTAACTGATAGGACCAAGGTCAGTCATAGCAAAAGCACCTTTCATGGACTGAATAAGAGTGTTGAGTAGGCGATCACTAGAAGCCGTCAAGAGAATGTCATCAACATAAAGTAGCAAAACAGCCATGTCAGAACCAGCAGAGTAAACAAACATTGAAGAATCTGAGCGACTTCCTTTAAACTCCTGTGTAAAGAGAAAAGAGGTAAAGCGGTGAAACCATGTCCTAGGGACCTGCTTTAAGCCATAGAGAGCTTTGTTCAATCGACAGACATAGTGAGCATGGTCAGGATGAACAAAGCCAGTAGGCTGTTTCATGTAGACAATTTCATTGAGATGATCATGCAAAAATGCATTTTTAACGTCCAACTGATGAACGGGCCACTTGCGAGAAACAGCAATACTTATGACAGTCCGTATTATCACGGGTTTAACCACAAGACTATACGTTTGATCATAATCAAGATCGGGTTTTTGATTATAGCTCTGAGCGACCAAACGTGCTTTACACCAATCAAAGGAACCATCAGATTTGAGTTTTACACGAAATATCCACTTGGAACCAATCACATTAGCATAAATAGGGGGAGGGACAAGATCCCATGTATGATTAGAAAGGAGAGCATTATACTCATCACTCATTGTGGCACGTCATTCAGGGTGTTTATTAGCTTCAGTAAAGGATTTGGGTTCAGTTGGAAGAGAAGAAAGATTAGTAGTGGCAATGAGGGAGAAAATTTCTTTGGGTTTACGTGTGCCATTCCGAGTGAGGGTGACCATAGGATGAGATGGAGGGACAGTGGAAATAGAATGTTGAACAAGATTTCCTGAAGGAGAAGGTGCTAAAGGTAAAGGCACAGACAAAATAGAAGATGTGGATTTGCTTCGAGGCAAAGGAACCATAGAAGGAAGAGATCGAGGAATGAGAAAGGAAGGATGTTTAAACGGGGATGCTGATTTATGGGAAGACTGAACTAAAAGGGAAAGTGTGGGAAAAGGAAAAGAAGTTTCATCAAAAGTGACATGACGGGAGATATATACTTTTCGAGAGACAGGATCAAAACAATGGTACCCCTTATAGAAATCCGGATAACCTAAAAAGATACAGGGAACCGAGCGAGGACCAAGCTTATGAGGTGCTAAATAGGAGAGATTTGGAAAGCAAGAACAACCAAAAACCCACAACACACCATAGTTAGGTTAACAACCATATAGAAGATAAAAAGGAACAACACCAGTTTTAGATTTGGTAGGCAACCGATTTAAGAGGTAAACACTAGTATTTAAAGCTTCGACCCAGAATTCATTGGGTAAGGTTGCTTGATGAAGAAGAGTACGGACCATGTTTAGTACGGTTTTATTCATATGTTCAACCTTGCCATTTTGCTAAGGGGTATATGGACGAGAGATGCGCATTGCAACACCTTTAGATTTAAGAAAGGTCTGAAGAAAACTAGAACGAACATACTCTGCAGCACCATCCGACTAAAGAACTTTAATAGAAGTACTAAATTGAGTTTGAACAAAAGTATAAAATTCAACAAATTTCTGAGGAACTTCAGACTTATTTTTAAGAGGATACACCCACAAATAGGGAGTGAAATCGTTTAGGAATAGGACAAAATATTTAAAACCACTAAAAGAAAAATATGGAAAAGTCCATACATCAGTGTGTATAATAATATCAAAAGCACTAAAGGTGACAGAAGAAGAAGACATAAAGAGAAGCTTATGATGCTTTCCGACTTGACTTGCTTGACACAAGTGAAGCTTATTTGAAGAAGTGACGGAACCAGGAAGGCTTTGAGTTGACACTTAACTTGACAGAATGGAAGAGTTCGGATGACCAAGGCCTTGATGCCACACATTGGAAGTAACAAAAGCAGCAAACACCGAACAAGACAAGGAGGATGGTGTATGAGATGGATGAAGCAGAGTGGACGGAAAGGAGTAAAGGGAGCCGGTGCTATTGCAACGTAGACGAGGGGTCCTCGTCCAAAGATCCTTCACAGAGAAACCAAAAGGGTCAAACTCAATGGAACATTGATTTTCTGTAGTAAATTGACGAATAGAGATAAGATTTTTTTTATTGAAGGGTACACAATAAACACGAGAAAATCGAAATTTAGAACAAGGAAGCTTGCCAACAGATTGAATGGGTAAAACATGTCCATTGCCGATCACAACACTTTTAGAACCAATATAAGGTTTATAATCAAAAAGGATACCTTCAGTGGGAGTCATAGCATTACCACATGCAGTATCCATGTATCAGGAGGAGTCAACTGACGGGGGAGCAAGCGGCCGACTGTGGGGATCGACAAAAAACGCGGGCTGCTGGAATTGGAAGCAGTCGCAAGCTGAATGATTTGGTTGATTACACAACTGGCAGCAAATAGCAACAGGATTCGGCTGAAAAGAGGGGTTGGACCAAGGAGAGATGGTGCACGAGGCCTAGGAGAAAATATGGGAGCTGGATAATTAGAATAAGATGAATAATACGAAGAAGGATATTGACTGAAAGAGGGATTTCGACCCCAGTCGCGTCTGTGACCTGGAAAGTTTTGAGACTTGCCCCAACCACGACCACGGGTGTTGGAGAATGGCTGAGGGTGAGCTGGAGAGGACGGCGGCAGCGAGTCGGTAGATGGAGCTGCAACTAACACCGGTGTTGCTGCGGGAAGAATTGAGGGGGTATTGTTCTGGAGTTGCACTTCGTGCAAAAACAACATAGAGTGAGCTTCAACGAAGGTGGGAAGAGGCACCTTGTGACTGATCGTGGTCAAGACAGATTGATACTCAGAAGGAAGGCCGGCAAGAATTTGAAGTACCAAATCAGTTTCGGCAATTGGACAGCCGACAACCGTTAAAAAATCAGCAAAGGTTTTTAGTTTGGTGACATAGTCATTGATAGTTAAGTCTCCCTTCTTCAAGCTATGGAACTGTAACTTCAATTGAAGAAGTCGGGAACCTAGTTGGTCATAAAAAGCTTTTGGATGGTTAACCAAGCATCACGAGCAGTAAGGGTCGAATTCAGTTTGACGATAGCTTGCAAAATTTCAGTCGAAACAGTTGCTTGAATCCAAGAAAGGACAATAGAGTCTATTTGTGTCCAAGTTTGAAAAGCCGGATTAGGAACGGAGGAAGAAGATCCATCCGTGGCTGGAATTGTTGAAGGCGTGCAGAGAGATGAACAATCAATGTGATCCATGACGCCCTGACCACGAAAAACCGGAAGAAACAATTCTTTCCATAGCATGTAGTCGGTGAAATCCAGAATCGGAGTCACATAATTTTTGATATTTGTGAGGCCTACAGCCGGATGAGACAAGGGAGAGAGTTGCTGGAAGGAGGAGGGTTTGGAGGGTTTGGCAGCTGGTTTTCAGAGGTGGCTGGATTGGTTGTAATCGAATCTTCAGACTGAGCCATGACAGCAAGAAATAAAATCAGCAGCAGAAGAAGATGAAGAAGTTGCAGCGGCGGAAACCCTAAAGATTTGAGAGGCCAGGAACGAAAAAAGGTGATACCATGTAAAAACGTTTTCTCCATGTTGTTTTCATGTCTATACAATATAATATATATAGGACTACAATTCATAAAACCCTAACTTTATTTCCATATATAACTATTCTATCAATGACGAGTGCGTAACAAATCGAAGTAATTATTTTTTACACCTTTCAAATACACGGCTCAAATTAACATATAAAAACTGACATTTTCAAATTTACTGCCGAAACGAAATTTGAGTATTCAGGAATTGATTCAAACTTGAGACTGTAATCAAGAAACTATTGATATTCCTATGCACAATAAGTGTAAAAGATAATCTCTTTGAGTGGAGGGAGGTCCAAAAATCATAGGGAAATAGGGATACGATCTATATATATATATATATATATATATATATATATATATATATATATATATATATATATATATATAAAAATAAGAAGTTCCAAAGCATATATTCATACTCACAATTCTCAGTACAGAAAGTAGTACCAAAGGAGAGGCATTTTGTTGACTGCTACATCCAGCACTTCCCACCATTTAAGTATAAATTTGAAACTGCAAACCTTATAATCATGTAGAGTTTTAAGCATTTGCAATTTGGATATGGAGTACTTTCGGTCTGTCAAGATACAATTACTTAGTAAGAAGAGAGAAAATGCAGAAAGTAGATCAAGAGTTGCTCCCTAGGAATGTGAATACAATGCCTCCTCAGTCAACAGAAGAACATTGAGTTGCGAACGTTTTTGTGTAACTTAGGCAGTTGGGGGACTAAAACACCAGTAGAAGTTAGTCCACCATGTCCAGAAGATGTCTCGGACAACTCATCGAACTTGATGAACTGTGACACTTGGGCAGCAGCAAGGTGGGCGTAGTATATAGGAGCAACTGTTGAAAGAGAAAAAAAAAAAAAAATCAAGCAATGTTTTGAATGCAAATTGCAGATTACAGAAGCAGCAAGTAGAAGGAGCAAGAAGAACAAAGCCATTTGAGAGAGATTTTACCTATGGAGATGGCTGATGTGCTTCTCTGATACCTGAAATTTTTTTCAAAAGATCATTTTTGTTACTACCATACCACAAGAAGTCAACATTCAGAAAACCTTTTCAAGAAAAAGCAGATTTTGGATCTATATTTCAAGAAAAGGAATGCTTACACATATGATAAAGAATGAACAAGCTCCTGCAATTCATCAGCTGAACATCGAAGTTCATCATAGAGAACATGATAATGGGTAGGCCTGGTGGTGCCCTGTTGATAAAAAGATAAGGAAAAGCGTTCATCAGGAGGTTTGTTTAGGTTAAATGGAAGAGGTCACAAAACATGTTTGATCACTCTTTATTCAGTTTGCTTTAAAGTAAGGTAAATAAGGTGGAATTAGGGAACTTACAATCAGTCCAGCATGAGCACACATATAGAAGTCATTGTTTCGAGGATGGCAAACACCATTGTCGATAACAGTCCCTGAACAGAATGGTGTATGTTATGCAAACAGCGTTTATTCAGTTTTACTGAATGATCAATACTAAAGGAATGCCATGAACAAACCAGGTGGAACATTGTCCGGGGATCCACCAGCCTTAAAGAATTTTGTGTGGTGATTCTTTTGTGCCACTACCAGCATAAACTTGGGACGCCACTGCTCATCATATGGCAATTTGCAAGCCTATGAAACAAGCGAAATATCTTTCAATACTAAACGATTTCTCCTTTTCTTACTTGTGCAAAATGAAGCTGTGCTACATTTACCAAATGCTAATTACCTCCATAATCTGATCCAGTTCAGTGTTCAAGACTTGATTGAACTGAGACTCACTCACTCCATCCCTACGCAGAAAATATCCATTGAGATTTAACAATGTGTAGAAATTTTCTCAACAAAAGAAATGCATGATCTTCAATTTTCTTAAAGTGATTCACCACTTTCATTTTGTGGTCGCGAAGTTAAATCAAGATTCATCAACAGTTTTACTAACTGGTAATCGCAATCCATATGCATCAAGTACTCTGAAGATTTACTAGACTCAGAAACACCATCAAGGCCAGAGGATTCAATGAACTCACTCCAAAGAGCTTAAGACAAGTGCATGGAGCTTGTTTACAAAAGGCTTGGGATTACCTGAAGATGATGATCTGTTCAGGTTTCCTTCCACTAGACCGAAAGAAGTCATCCAGCAATTCTCTGGAAATTTTTAAATCATTTATGAGCTGTAAGACACCTTGTAAACTGAGAAAACAAAGGGGGGAAAAAAAAACATTTTGTACTGAAAATGGAAAATTAAAAGCTATCAAGAGTTCCAAGCACCTGAATATTCCTTCATCTTCACCATTTGGCAACTTCTTGCACAGGGAATCAATCAACTCAGTTTTTGGTGACTGTGTACGGACCACTGCTCGATAGCGAGAAATCAGTGGCCAGCATCTGGAACTTACCACCTGATGATTCCACCAACAGGCAGATGGAGAGCAAGGTTTAGAATTTGTTCAGATTGTCATTGTATACAGTATGCAAAGCAAAAGAGAACAGCATTGTACCGCAGCAATTGAGGGAACATCTGCACGACCAGGAGATCCATGAGAGACATCCATTCCTAAGATGAGCGTCGGGACTCTTCCAGCAATTGGAATGGACGGTGATCGCTCGACAGTCAGAAAAGAATTTATGCCTCCCATCTACACAAATGCATATATCAGAATCAACATGAAGCTAATGTTACTTTTAGTATTGGACCTTAAAAGAGAGCCAAAAAGTAATCCTGTGATAAATTATTGAGAAACAACCTACCTTGGCATTGATTTTCAGAAGAACATTTGTTAGGTACTGGTCCTTCACCTGACGGGGAGGTGAAATGCATTGAGTTACTATTCCAACCTCTGAAAGACACCTCCTCTTCCATGGACCTTCGAACAGCAGAACAAGAAATGAAAAGCTATTATTGCTCTATATAGTTATCTACCGAAGGAAACACGCCGAACTGATTCATCAATAAGAAAATTTTAAGAAGACAGCATGCTGAAATCTAAATAATGATGAATAACTCACTTGGTTTGGAGTAAATCACATACCATAGATATCACAGTTTTTCCTTTCTGGGAGAATGCAGAGAAGAAACTGAGGAGGATCCCGTGGAAGCTTTTGCTCCATCTCTTGAAACATGTGTTGCACTCTCACATGAGGAGGACTATGCCTATGACGAGGATTCTCTTGAAATGTTGGAAATGATCCACTGAGATGCTGCAGGACATTTTGCAACTGTTATAGACAGAATAAAGTTTTACATACAATTGACACAACAGTGGAGAAACATATATGAAACTTACAATTCCCTTGAGGTTCCCACACTTTATAAGCTCCCTACACAAATGACCAACATCACAGCTAGCAGAAAAGTTCACAGCCGCCCAACGCTCTATTGTGACGGGCTCAACCAATTTCTAAGAAGAACAAGCTCACTTGTCAGAGAGATGTATAAAGGGTCAATCATAGGTGAAACTGCATAAGTATTTCAGAAGGATATTACCTGGTTGTTGAAGTTCCACCGTCCATTTCGTGGAATGAAGTCCTTTCCATTGCCTACTTTCAACTGCCAAACACAAAAATGAAAAGAAAGAAAGAAAGAAGCCATGAGCTGAACTGCAAAATAGAGAATCCTAATGATTACACTTATCTTATAGTGGATTTTATTACCCTTGGAGCTGGCAATACTCGGCCTTCCACTTGCGTAAAGTTGCAGTTAATTGAAATCCCAGAACTTGCCAAAAGATGGTCAGCATTGTAATTACTAACCCTGAGAGCCTGAGGGAAGACATGAAGGGTGATCAGTATCTGAAACATGAATTATCAAATTATCAAAGAGTAGTTTTCAAGTATTAACTAGGCAGTATTACATCAGTCAAGGTTGTCATCTTTTCCTGAGGCTTCTGTCGAGATGCTTCCACAATGGCAGATCTTTGCAGATTGGAGAGAGACTTTGTGTATCGTTGCAGGGAAACCAATGAGCAGAGCTAAGACAGCAGTAGTAAATATCAGGAGAGAACATTGTCAGGTAAATCCATAACTAATTCCTCTTCAATCTGGTACCTCGATAGGAATGAAAGTCGGGCGTTTTGGCTTTCCAACATTTATACAGTACAAAGCTCCAGATTCTCGCAATGGGATCTTCCGATAATGAACAAAGTACTCATAGACTGTAACCTCAACAGGATCTTCATTTCCTCGCTTGAATGAGAACCTGAAACGTAAATTTTGTGGTAAGATGGTGTCATAAAAATGTATTCTCAAGCATTTTGCAAAGAGTTATCCCATGACCGCCAGTATTACCGTTGATCTCTGCAGATCCTATCACTTAAACCAGTGATTTTCTGTTCCTGGTTGGAGGGGCTAACTGTAATCCTTAGATTCTTCAGCATCCTTTTGGCCTGTTTATTAGCCAAAAATGAGATGAAGCATTCAACAATTCGAGTACTGAGAGCTAGCTTATGCAGGGATAATAGCTACTACTTACCTTCACCCAGTCAATCTTAGATGAATCTTTCACATTCTGATTTTCCTTCAGAAAATCGATGACCGGCCCTGGTTTTACAATCATAGTAGTGGATACATCTACAGAAAATGACAAACGTTGAGGATTTATAGTATGATTATTGTAGGAAACTGAAATTCTGATCTACAACATATAACTTACCAATGTTTAGAGAAAGACCCCCCTGAGTGGCTCGAAAACTTGAATGGAATCCTCGACATCCAACCACGCCACCTCCCAAGGGAATGAAGTTTTTTGGATGATTGTGGAAGAATGACTGGCGGACCAGAAGGCAAGCCCTGATACATATATCAGAACTATTAGCAACAATACCATACTTCACTGACTACACAATTCATAATCACCAAACTTACTGTTTTGCAGCATTCTGCCGCAGAATGATGTCCAGAACCCTCATAGCATCTTGAAACTGTTCAGACTCTTTTACACTAAGTGCATTTGCAATAGCCTGCAGCGGGATTTTGGTAGCATAGCTGATGGTAACTTTATACGTCTTGGATCGACCTTGACGCCTGGATCTTTTCTTATCGCCCTCATTCAGGCTACCATCACCCTCAGGGCTTCCACTGCGGCCAGTATTCCTGAGATGAAACCAAACTTAAATCCTGACCAAAAAGTATGAGGAAGGAAAGTAACGAAAGGTAAAAACAGCAACTATATACCTGTTATAGCACTGATCGTCCAAAACAACAGTGAACTCCAGCTTGTTTTGAGGTAGGGAACCAATGGTAAATAAGCTTTTCTCACCGTCATACGCGAAGTCTTTTCCATCAAGCTCAGATCGATAAGTCTGATATACTTTATCGAGTACCCTTCGGCCAATTCCTTTAGCATCAACAGGATGGCCATCTTCATATGTAATAGACACCTGTGGAGGAAAAAAAAGATCAAGTCAATCAATAGAATTAATAACACATTCTGATTATTGGATAATAAGACTGCAGCAGAAGTTACTATTTAACAACACAAAGAAGAAAGGGGTCAAGAAGGTACACTATATTGGAAAAAGAATCCCTGAAGGTTGCTGGCAACTCTAACTCTGAAATGATTGGTTAACAAGGGAATCTTTTGTCCCTTACGGCCAAGGCCATTGTTCTTAGGCCTAGCCATTGGTACTCGTTTGATCTCCATGGCCTTCAAAGGAACAACACCTTGGGGTATTATAGCTGGTGGCGGTGGAGGCAGCAATGCCTGTCCATCCACATGAGGATCCATCTGCAGGTGGCACAACTCTTCAATCCATACAAACACAGACAAAGTTATAAATGAATGAGCAACTGACAGAGTTGAAACTAAAATTTTGCAGTTTCCAACAAGGAAGTTAGAGTAGGATACAAAAAGAATTCATATGGTAATCATCATTTCCACCTTAAAAGTAACAAGCTAACAGAGAGCTGGATGAGTTTATGGGGAATCTTTCTCTTAACTCCCAATGACTTATCAACTTCTAATGGTGTACTCCGTTTCAAAATATCAGTCGTTTTAAATTTGGAAAAAATTTTCAAAACATAGGTGGTTTCAGGATTTTTAAGGCAAATTAATTTCTAACTTTCCAACTAGTTTCAATGATTGATGCCAGCCCTTTTTCATTTAATCTCGTCAATACCGTAGTTCCAATACAATTAATGAGAGATAGATGTAAAACAGATACTATCTGACAAACATTTTTGTGTCAGCATTTGCAAAATACAATACATCTAGGAACTTGATAGCAATGTGGGTACACAGTTATGGAAATGTAAAAAGATATTTTTTGAAAGTTTAGTACATATGGAATTCAAGCAACGAAATTTTGCAGATATATGAACATACTACCATGTAAAATATACACATCTTGTACTGATCCTATTACCGGGGGCGATATTACCATAATTAATCACTTTTCACAATACATCATAAACTACCAATCAAAATTGATCATGCCATTCAACATTCATAGATTATCCGAAGGCAAGCCTGACATTAATTGTATTCAAAAAATAAGTAGCTTAACAATGTGATCAATTTTTGTTCATAATTCATTACTAATAAATGACAACAAGGAGCTGCCAAACTCAAATTTCATGCATTTTAAGACAATGTTGTGCTTCAGAAACATGTAACAAATTTAGTGAACTTACCTCTTTTTCTTTTTTTTCCTTTTTTTGAGAAATGAAAAAGAGGGACAAAAGAAATCACCTTTTTTGGGCAGAAAAATGATCAAACTTTCTTCCTGGTCTTCAACGGTTCATCACGCAACAAACTGATCAATAAATAGAGTAGAAAGACAAAAACTCAAACAACATCACAAATACTCTCCCAGAGCCATATTTTATAAAAGCTTGGGAAAATACATTGAGACAACACTGAAAATCCAGAGTAAACAACTGTGAAAGAAAATGGGAAAAGGGAAGAGAATGAAAAGAAAAGTTACAAGAAAGGAAATCCAGTAAACGGAATTAGTTTTCCTGTTAAATGTGATCAAACTTAATCCACTCCAAAATCCATGAACATAGTATTCCACCAAAAAAAAAAAAAAAGAAAACCCCAATATATAAAATCCTGAAAACCAGTGTTTCATGATTAGTTCATGCGAAAAAAAACATTTTCCAACAGGATGATCAGTTGAAAGCCAAAAACCTTTACTACATAATCCAACACTAAAAACCTCAACAAAACAAACCAAACTTTAAAAGTTAAAAGAGACACAAAAAAGATCAAGAAAGACAACCTTACAAGTACGAAAAGATGGAACAGAGAAAAGCTGATCAGGGGCAGGAATAATGCTCTTGGACAAAAAAAAAAAAAAGGAGTTCATATAGCTAGCATGAAGTAGCAGAAATCGATCAGGAGGGAAATATCCAAATTAAAAAGAACAATATAAAATAAAATAAAGTATGGTGCAAAAATTACTACTGGTTTTTCACTACTAATGCAAGAAGGATTCCAATTGGTATATGGAGGCCAGGAATCAAAACTCCAGACCCCAAGAAATGCTTGATTAAAAGTAACTCTCCCAACTTACCTTTCTGAGTTGTAGCCAAGAACATATAAAATGTGCTTTTTCATCCCAAAATTATAATTTACATTTAATTTTTAAATTTATACTAAATTTTGTACAAATTTTAATATTAATCTTTGTTTAAGGATAGAGGTAGTATGTTTTTTGTCCCAATTTTTTTATTTTTATTTAATTCATTCCCTCCACCATTGACAACCGAGTCAAACAACCTCCAACTATTGTTGAAAAATGAAAATTAAAGAAAGATAGAGTTTATGATGTGTTTATGCTTTTATATATAGTGGTTGTTCCTTAATTCAATTGTTTTTACGGACAGAACTTGTTAGTTCAAGCTTATGTTATATTGTAAACTCTAGGTTATGAAGCTTGCAAGCGTCAAAATTTATGCGAAAAAACATAGCATGTTTTCATCGTTTATATTAGTCCAAAAATCAATTTGTTGCCATGTATATTCAAATTACCTTCCTAGTCCATTACATTTTTTTGTCACAATTTTATAACGTTTTCATATGATATACAGCACCAACTTGCAACTCAAGGAATACACATCACATGGATTTCAAGGGAGGGGGCGGGGGCGGGCTGGGGCTTAATTTATTAATTACAATAGCTCACTTTTTGTGTTAGTCGTATGAATTTTGGACATTTTTTCGCTGTCAGAAATGAAGACAAAGAAGCCGTAGCGGTAGCCGGTTCGCGGTGAAATATGGTTGCAAAATTAGCAAAAACTTAGATCGAGAATAAATAATAATTCATAAAAAGAGCAATACTTTTAAATATTTTCTTACCACCTTTTTTTTAAAGGATCAATAGTAGTTCCTCGCTTACCTCCGACGTGACTCGAACTCTCGAATCCGTGACCTATTGGTCAACAGATAAGGCATCTTATCATTAAGCTCCACCTGTGACCTATTTTTTTACTACCTCTTCCTAATTATTATAACTTTTACTTTATTCATACAAAATCATTTTTACCTTCGAGCAATTAAAATTTTATTCTTTTTGTGAGCACAATTATGAGCAAGCATTAAATTTCATGTATGTGTTACAAATAATATATCAAAAAACAAAATCATGTACATTATGTAGTTTAACTACATCTTTTATTTATCAAATCTTTTTAAAAATTTTTGCAGACATGAAATAATAAATATATATGTTAGTGAGTTGTTACAAGTTTGTCTTTGGGCCAATTAAACAAGAAGTTTTGTATTGAAAGAAGGACAATTATGAATAAATTCGGTTCATTTGGATGTTATAATTTATTTATTTAATATATCAATATTTTACAAATTAAAATAAATATTTTTTGTAAACCAAAAAAAAATAAATATTTCTTTTAGAAATTACAAAAAATAGTCTCTATATTTTGAATAATATAATTATGACTTTTTATCATATATATATATATATATATATATACATATTCTATATGAATTTATATGTCATGATTTATTAAAAATTTGTGAATATATTTGATGTTTATTTGTTGGAAATTGAAATGAAGGGAAAAAGAAATGGTTTTATAAAGAGATAAAGTTTTGGAAGCAAAATTATATTACTTTTTAGCAAAGAAGTTACAAATGTTGAATCAATCGAATGTGTTACACTAGACAATATTGAGTCATTTGGACAATATTCCTATAGATTGTTTAACAGGGAAGCTTAATTGTTTAATTTGATTAGTTTAGCTTGTATGAATTTACTGCTTTACAAATAGGTAATTAAGCTTCTACAATCCTACTTTCTTCTTCTTCTTCTTCTTCTTCTTCTTCTTCTTCTTCTTCTTCTTCTTCTTCTTCTATTATTATTATTTCTTCTTTTTTTTTTTGTTGTGTATTTCATGTTTAGTTACTATTTTCATGATGATGACCATTATTACGTTGAAAACAACCAATCTAATAATTCCTCCGTATTAATAATCTTACTATGTATTACTCCATCTCTTTATTTTTAAGTTCAAAAAAAAAAAGAAAAGATCCCATGAAACCTAATCAAAGAAAAAGAAAAGTGAAGTCAATAAATAGTACTAATAATAAAGAAAATCATTTTGATGAAGACAGTAATCGTCAATTTAAGAAGTCCACTGTTTCAAAGCTTCAAAAACTTGAATTGCATTGTCCCTTAGCCTATAATGTTGACACACACACACACGCACACACAAAGAAAAAAAAAAAAAAAGGAAGAAAAATGCAAACTACGGTAATTAGAGTTTCTGTGGCTGCACTTCCGAATCAATGACTAACGATATACTCCGAACTAAAGAGTTCACGAGGTAACTTTATTTATGGCCTTCCCCTGTGAGTATTATATATCCTACATGCGGGAGTTAGATGCTGGAGGGCAAAGCGTTCAGAGGTCCAGGACGGGGAAAAACCCAAAAAAAAAAAAAAAAAAGACATCGAATTGATCCCATTGTCGAGGCTTTGTTTCACTCATATCGATCGCGAGTTAACATAATGGACATAACACGAGTTCTAATAGAGTTGTTTCAACCAGAAACAAGGAGGAAGGTGGAAATTAACTTGCAACATACACACTTCGCAGGAAAAGATAACACTGTAGAAAGACAACATAAATGAAATAACACCAGGTCACTGATTTTGCACATCCCGACAGCAACTACCCTAGAAGGGGACCATCCCCCGGAGTTAAAGGTTTTTATTATGCTTATTTCGAAAAGTTTTGCCGGAACTGTTGCATTCTGCCATGACAAGGATATCTACATCTATCCTATACTCCTCCCAACTGTGACTACTATCTTCAAATCCATGCTCAATACGGTGTAGACTAAACTTACCATTTGCCACCTAGTGTATGGTATACTATCAACATGCCAAAAAACTCATCAAATCAAAGGGAAGTTGCAGCATGCAAAATGAAATGGTACTACCTTGTTATTAGTGTCTACTAACTAGCAAAAGTCACATCAACCATAATAGATGACCGAGTGACTAAAAGTAATTCCAAACACCAGACTGACATCACCATAACCAGCATCTACACAACCATTCAATAATACAATCGAACAAATAAAACACTACGTTGCTACAAACCAAACCTAGGATTTAAATATGCAATACATGAATATGCATAAATATGTCTGCGGGTGTCTGTATGTAAGAAGTTGCATATGCAAATAAAAACCATGTAATACAGTACAACAATCAAAATGAGATGTCATACCTTGAGAAGCAACATCTCCATATACAATGACATTCCACAGAGAATCCAATCACCAGCCAAATTCAACCTTCATGTCCACCACAGCACAGAAACATTATTAGATGCGAGATTCTGATTTCAAACCTGATTGCACTAACAGGCTGAAATCAAACCTTGGTTGAAAGAGGAAAACAATTAGTTGCAGTTATAACATGGGCAGAATGTTCCTATAGACTGATATTTTCGACACATATGAGCTGTAACTCTCAGATGTCAACAAATAAATTAATTCCTCAATTTTGGATTGGAGAATTGCTTACACTGATTACATGGTAAGATTATGTACATAAACTTTACAAGGCCCATAGGTATGCATTACAAACAATTACAAGAAGCATAAGCTTCCGCAACCAATTTTGTTACCCTAAAACTAAAATCCTCCCAACCAACTTCAGCAGTTGACAAGGATGTAATGAGTAAAAAAGAACTAACCCACCGGGGGACTAGACAAACAATCATCTAAACTCCCTTAACATGATCTCACAAGGATCTTTGCACCAAATCAGTCCAGCTCTTGGCATCAATTAAGCCACTCTCTCCTTTGAAAGAATCGGGATAATTCATATTGATACAACTAGAATTTCCCCATGACCCGCTGACTAACCATCTGGAAGAGTCTCGTGTTCCAGTGGTTCTTGAGAACATTCATCTCGAAGATTCTCTTTTTCTTTTGGAACGCATCTTACAGGAACATAAACAAATCCTTTGGGCAACCGCTGATTTTTAAGAGATGCTTGATCTGATGTCATGACCATCTCCTTCTCAAAAGTTTCGGGATGCTGTATTATTTTTTGAACAGAAATCAGTACTTCAATCCCCAAGAAAAACGCCCTAAAATGAAAACTACACATTTTGCCTGTATACCTTTCTGAATCTTGATCTTTTTTCAAGATCATCTGAATGATTCCTCGATGCAACCGCAGGCCTATGCGGAATTTGTTTCCCGGAGAATAGCATCCGCTCATGAGGCTTTTGCGTTATGAACTGCTGGGACACAGAACTGTCATCGGTCTTTTGTTCGTTGTCCATAGACATTGGGATTTTAATTCGCCTTTTACCTGCAAGTGTACTATCCACTGTGACATCATCTGACCTCTGGATAGTATCACTTCCTGATCTGCCATCTGTATAACATCGGGTGGAGGTTGTACCCGATTCAGAACTTAAATCAGGATGATACAAAGTATGCCGACTCAGAGCAGACAAGAATGCAGCGTCTCGGTTTGAAGCCAGAATGTCATGTGAACAAAGAACCAATTCACGCTGCAACAGCCAAAGATATGAAGAGCATCAAGAAAATGCAACTGATAGAAGAAGCACTATTAACAGTTGGAAACACGCGAGTTTATGCTGCATTTACAAAACCATTTCCATAAAGGAAAGAAATCAATGGTCATATAAATGAGTATGTCAACCTCCGCTAACCATCTGAAACATGATCAATAGGAGAAGAGAGTAATAGGATGAACTTAAAAATAGCAACCATAGACTAATAACAAGAATAAAATGATAGAAGTCCTCAAACACAAAGCTCAAAGCTCCTAGAAGAAATAAATAGGCAATGCATATGTTTGAAAAAGCTATATGACTACCATAAGCAATATTACACAACAGAAACTACTCAGAATAAGTTAATAAAAATGTACATTTACCTTAAACACAAAGGAAACCGACCATAACTAAGACATTAGGCTCTCTTACACAGATCATATGTATCACCACAAGCATTAGCAATTTAACTGTTCTAATGTAAGTTTGGATTCATGTCTTTTTATATCTTTCCTTTTACCTTTCAGTTTGAGATAAGAATTATCGTACTTGTTTTACAGAGGTAACCAAAAGTCTGCTACATGTTCCAAACCATGCTAGGCATAATTTCTCATCAACTGGTGCTATCTTCCTTTCTTTTTCAAGATTTCATTACTGATTCTAATCTTATGTGTCGGCACATCAACGTTCACATTGCTGCAACACTTACTTTTGCCTTTAGTATTTAGATCCATCAAGCGTCACATGCTGTAAAGCTGTTAAAAACTCTACCACTCAATTTTATGGTAATTTGATAATTAGACAAACATGGCAGAAGTCCTATCAACCAACCTACGTCCTAGAGTAGAGAAGGATTATACATACAAGCATTAAGCTCATGCTAACCAATTGTGCCATTCACACTAATTTCACTCTTGTAGTTAGTAAAAAGGAACTTCATGCATTCTGATATAACTATACTTTTTGGCAATTAATTCCTCGCCCTCCGACTTGGTAAATTGACAATTACCACTCTCTTGGAGCATATTTTCTGCAAATTACACCTACTACATTCAAGAAATTTCATCAAATGCTAACGCAAAAAAAGAGGATCCTAAAGCCGTGATGCACCAACCAAAATTGCAAATCCATTACACATCCATACTAAAAGTCTTTAAACGTGCTGTTACATTTTTAAACATGTCTTGTAGAACTCCGAAATAAACAACTAACATGCATTTCCAAATCAATAAATAACCTACGTACACCTTGATTTTACGAGCAGTTCTTCACATAATTCATCACTCAAAAATCAAAAAAAAATAAATAAAAAAATAAAAAATAAAAAATTCATCACTTAAAGTGTAGCCACTGTTGCAGACCTCCCAACTGAGAAGACAGACCTGTTTCCAATACACAAGTCTTTTGCTTACTACTGTGTTACCTCTTCTTCCAATTTTGGTCTATGGAAAACTTTCATAGCCTATTTTATTCACATTTTCATATATCCTCGTATAAAAAACTAATGTAAGAAAAATAACATATATGCTAAAGTATCATTACAACTTTATCTCCCTTGTTTAAACATTTCTTAAAATCATAATCATTATATAAAGAGATGTATAAGCATATTAATTCCAAATTTAGCAAGAAACCTCTATGCCTAAGCATATTAATTCCAAATTTAGCAAGAAACCTCTATGCCTCAGTAGGGATACTGTTAGATATGTCCAACTAATCTCCTCAACTTCTTTTACTTCCATGACTCCATTATTGTCACAATATGTATAATTTAGCAGGAACCCATTAAAGTGAGAATATTGATTCGTTCCAGGAGAAGAAATACACACAACAATGAACTTCATTTTACTAAAGAAATATAAATAGTCCAATAAAGGTAGCATGGAATTAAACCACCATTTACAGGGGTAAATATTTAAGCTATTAACCACATATCTTAGCTGTAGATCACCAACGCCAAGTTACTAAATGAAAACGAGCCTCTAATGATTCTAATGCTTTCGTCCAATGAAGTTTGTTCTTTCCGCACAAAAAGAATAATGTAATACCAATAGATAACAAATGAGTGCGCCTTGCCAAAAAATATAAACATGCAAAATAAGATTTGGGTCCATGTCATCAAAGTGTTTACCTTCAATTTCTCTCGCTTTATAATTCGTTCACAAAGAAGCCGCAGCCTCTCTAGCTCCACCTGTATAACATTTTAGATATTAAAAGTCACATGTTACTTCTTTTTGACTATCTATGTACAGCATCAGTTTAAAGCATTTAAATTCAACACAATATTTAACAACACATGGACAGCAAACTATTGATCAAGTATCATCCTGATTGACAAATTCAAATCAATTTGATGGAGGAGTTTATTCAAAGGGGGAAAAGATAATTTAAACTAATTCTCTTCTAGCCACAATAAAAGGCAGAATTTGTAATTTTGTCATTTTAAAAGAAACACTACCACCAAGCATGAGCTTGAGTCTTAGAAAAAAATAATTAAGAATAACCTACGTCCAAAAATTCTCTTTGATTCCCACTTACCCTCACTTGCTTGAGGCTCTTGAACTCCTCAATGCCATGTTTTTGCACCTCAGCCTAGCAAGAAGACAAAAGAAGTTAAGCAACTCCAAATTTAAATTAGCTCATACAAATTCCTGAGCTCCTAAAATGACCAAAGCAGCCTAACCTTAGCTTTCTGTTCGAGGCTATGCTTTCCACAATAAGCCTTATGATGTAGCTTTCCGCCATTGCTTCTTACGTTCATATAGAACCCAGCACTACGGGCGCAAGAAGCATGGAAGGTGCTCTGGCAGTTACCATAGCTACACTGCAGACATTCAGCCTCTTTAAAACACTATTACAAATTTTCACTCCAAAAAAAAGAACCACAAGAGCCAAATTCAACACACCTTAACACAGACACCTTGCTTCCTAGAGCAGATAATACACACATCAACTCCCATGGACAGCAGTTCCTGAAATATAGAATTGCGCAGAAGTTAGCGAGTTCTTCATGCAAAAAGAAAAAAGGTATGAATGTAAAAACTACACATCCTTAAAAAATTTTCTATTCCTGGTGTATCCTTATGTCCACGTACCATTCCATCAACTGGATTTACTTGTCCTCGTCTGAATGTCGATTCTAACAACCACTACAAATGCAAGGAAGTGACTTTAAATCCCAAAAAGTCTACGATACAAAAAACAGTACAAAGAAAAAAAAAAGGTATAACCAAGAACAAAATGATCTAAAAAAATTACTTCAGCACAGAAGGCATGGACCCATTGACCGTTTGTTGACTTTCTAAAAGCACCAGCAGTCCCTCCGCACAAACCACATTCTGAGATCATAAATGGTTTGTCCGAGGTAATTGTAGATGGCACTCCAGAGCCACCAGAAGACAATATGTCATCACATAATTCACAAAACCAAGGGCCAGTGGAACTTTTAACTCCACGATAACAATCCAAGTGAACCGCAACCTTTAAAAAGAAAATCAAGGAGTAATAAGGAAGAAGATTATGAATTACGAACTGGATAAAATAACCTAAATTTATAGTACTTTGCTTTAGGGTATGCACCTTGCAACTCGAGCAGACCAAGATTGGGTTCAGAATTGTCTCACATCTACCACAAATTTCACAAGTTCTAGGGTGTTCCACTGAAAAATTTGACCCCGAAGGAAAAAGCTCAGAATTCTTTTCTGATGAAATTCGAGCAGCAGCTGTTCTAGAACTAGTCTCCTTAACCCGAGGATTTTGTTGCGAGTGAACCCCAGGCCTTCCATTTGGTAAACCACCCTTTGGAAGTTCCTGAAGGGAGATTAAACAAAACACTACGTGAACGACATCAAAAACAAAAACCAAGTGCCAACCAGTTATATGGATGATATGACATCATCATACTTTGTTGACCTGCAAATCCTCATTAAAATATATATCATGCCTTTTTCAATAGTTACTGTCTTATTCTTTTTGGATCATCTCTACCCCTTCTAAGAGTTAATCTCATTCTCTCATCTCCTGGAATCTGACAATATAAAGTTTCTAAATGTGTTTTACAGGCACTCCAATTTTGAGATTTACTAGTAAACCAAACAAATATAGAGCAAATGGGCATTTTACACCTCCAGTTATCAAACTTCTAAAGCGGCATTTACGCATTCTTCTGTTTCATTTATTTAGGCCTATATCATATGGAAATTGCATCAAGAGCTTTCTGAAGGTGCATCAATTAAGAAAAGCCAAAAAATTATTCACTAAACTAACAAGCTTTTAGATTCGGCTGAAAACTAACCTCCAGATGTCCAGATTCTTCAATGGTGTCCTTCCTCAACGATGAAATTCTCGAAGATGCTGCTGCAGCCGCAGTTGCAGCAGCCAGTGTAGCTTGAGCTTCTTTATGCCGCCGTTCCTTCCTTCCTTGCTTTTTTGCCTCTCTAAGCTCATAGAGGTATTGGCTAAGCAAAACTGCATCCCACTTTTGTTTCCGAGCACTATCAATCTCCCATTGTAAATTCTTTGCTACCTTGGAGATTAATTCATCTGACAAGAAAGATCAACATTAGAATATTATACCAGTAAAAATCTGCCAACTCAACATGCGCGATTAAAATAAATATATATATATATATATATATATACCAGCTGCATAACCCTCCCTATAGAAGAGAAACCACTGGTAGAGATTCTAATGCATACAAACAATGGAGCTAACTACTAACCCATAAAACATTTTCTTCTGACAGCGTTTGACATTAGCTTATGCTGGTAATATTTGAGCTCTCCTTCCAATTCATCCGATGGAGACAATTGCAGCACACCCATATTTCTTGCCTTGACCAACTGTTCAAAATTCACCTCATTAAATTTTGGTATCCAGTCAGCAGCAGCCGACTGTTGACTGTGTTGACTGTGCCCATTACAGCAAATGCCTGAACTTGACGATGCACCCAGTTGAGAAAATTCCCTCTCCCTTGAACCTAAAAATAACCGAAGTAAAAATACTGCCGGACATGACTTGATTGTCTGAAGTCTGAAGATAGAAGTCCAAACATGAGTTAATTGTCTGACAAGACTTACTCTCATACTCAAATCCATTGTCCACTGCAATTAGTTTATGCTGCACAAAGGGAAGAGGGCAGGAAGAATCAGCTTTCCTGAAAAACAAAAAAAAAAATTGTTAAGAGGGATCCTAGGAACAAGAGATCTTTGAAAGAGGATAAACGAACAACAATCCAACACAGGTATCAGAAAGTAAGGATCACAACACTTTCTACAACTTAAAGATTACCAAAAAAACATGCAAGCATAATCTGAAGCTTACTCAAGAGCAGGGAGATGATTGGGAGGGGACGATACTTTTGCTTCCTCCACATCAGCGAGAGCATCATCATTTTGTTCAGCAATTGAGCCCCCATTTCGAGAACTCTCAGAAATGTTTAAGGCGACAGCTTCAGATGGCTCAGCTGTTGAATAAGTTAAACAAAAATATAAGAGATAAGAATAGCCACTTAATAAAATGAGAGAGAAATTTTGAATCCAGCCTTGTGCTGAGAAGGATGATTAGACATTAAAAACAGAACAATCTGAAAAGGAGTATTTAACCCAATTTTGCTGAATTTTAAACTGTATCTTGGCACCCCTGACCGAAAATTCTACAAGGAAGACCCAAAAAAAAAAAACAAAATCTACGAGGAAAAGGACTAGAACTTCATGACCAGTGAAGTAAATGATAGTTATAGAACTGAACCAGTTACCCGATTTCCAGATTAAAAAAAAAAAAAAAGTTGAGTTATAAATAAATTCAACCAAGTTGAAATGAGGTAGGATCATAATGAGCAGTCAAATACTAATACAGGAACAACTCCAGCGGCCAATAGTAAAAGAAAAAAGGAAAATCTTTTGCTTGACCATCTACCAATTAAGAAATACTCAAAAACACTCTTCCCTACCCCCGACTACCCAAGGAAACAATTTTCCAACAAAAGACCTTTCATATCACCTTGTTCTGCATATTGACAAGCGAAAAGGCAGGAAAGACAAGAGGACACTATCTTAAACAAAAGGACCACAGACACGTGGAAACAACCATATATTGCAGAAAGGGAATCCATATTTAAACCACAGACATACATAATACCCTTTTAAAAAAATAAGTTGCATCAATTGCCTGCCTCTCAAGAACAAGACTTCATCCTTAAATTCACGAGGTGTGAAAACATTCAAGCAATAATACAAAGGATTTCAACCCCCCAAACAAAAAAAAAAAAAGAAACAGAGGATGATTCTTCATATAAATTAGAATAAACAAATAAAGCAGATAGCTTCAAAGAAAACCTGCAGTTCTCTGGAGACTTCGTGCAGCAATATCATGAAATTCAGGGGGCGCCTTCTGCAAAGAGGGTAAATTTGAGAAGAAAAGAATATTAGGCAAAAATAAGTAACACCTGCTAAGGTAGCATCTCCAATTCAATTCCAGGAATGACTAAATGCAGTACTATCAGGCGATAATAATTTGTTACCGCAAACCAGAGGCACATGATGCGCACATACTACCGCGATTCTTTTTTATATGTTGTATTAGGGTAGATCCAAACTTTTTTTTATCTGTCGCTTCCATTTCCAAAGCAGCAATAAAACATTTATTCCAATTTCACCTTATCTCTCCTCACTTCAATAACCTATCTCTATACTTGCTTTCATAATTTTTTTTCTCTAGTCACAAAACATTTAATAAGGAACAATATAGGTAATACACTTTTAATATAATTTTCAATCATTATTATCTTAATTCCTGCGCACACCCTAACGCGACAGGTAAATAAACATAAAGGTAATACAACACCAAAGCGCTCAAAAAATTTCCAGGGTAGAAAAATGCAATTATAAAACAAACACTTAAAAAAGAGTCCAGAAATCATTAAATTGAGCAAGATAGGAAATGACAAAAACAGCAGTCTTCAGGCTATACAGCAGTCTTTATGCACAACAAAGAGTATAGGTCTCAGATATAACTAAGAAAGCCGTAGTTTAAACTGCAAGTAAAAGATTGCAAATTCTACAAAGTATCCAAGACATAAGGCAGATTGGTGTCATTCCAAACAATATAGCACTCGTCAAAAAGATGATCAAAGAAATATACAATTCGCACAGGGCATGAACGTCAGATATAAGCTACAGATGTCACTGAGGACTCCCAAGCCACGAACAATATACAATTGCCACGTTTGAATAATGATGATATTGCACACACATAAGAATGGCATTAAATGAAAAACTAGCCTATTCATAAGTGAAAATACCAAGAAGCAAAATTTTCAGTTACAAAATTACAATCATCAGCAGTAAAAATAAAATATTTCAACAACCAGCCAAACACATCTAAACTATACAGAAATTGAACTTACGGTGAGCAATGGGGACAACGAATCAAGAGAGACACCAAACTCTTCAGCTAAATCCTTCAAACCAGCTTCTCCTTGATCAATTAACTGGATGACAAATAAGCACATAGAAATAACTGTATCAACTCCAACATGAAAGATTGCATATGTATGAAGGCGTTAAATAGAGAACATTTTTAACTTACCTTCTTCATTACCAAGTTGCAATTCAAGGAGACGGGTGGCTTCACATCTTCACTTGCATCTGTTTCTACAGTCCCATTTCTAACATGTGGCTGAACATTCACAACATCTGACCGGGTTTTAGAATTTGACAAGTTATCCTGAAATCCATCCACTTGCAATATTTGATCATCCATCTCATCAGTACCCAAATCATTTCTTTGATCATTGACCACAACTTGATTGCCATTTCTTCCGTTAATATTCTTTTGAATCTTGTCACCAACCATTAGTGAAGGCTGGACCATAGCCTCGGTATCAATGGGCAAAGACGCATCTCCTGTGCATTGACCACCGGTGACAATCTCGGGTTCCGAATGTTTTGCACAAAAAGCTCGCAGCTCAACCTATTGGTTATTTTGATGGTCCAAAGATAAAACAGAAGAGAAGATTCAGAAAGGTGGAGAACTTGATCCTAAAAAAAACATTTAAATTAATGGAACAAAAAGGTCATAGATATAGTTCTCATTCCAACAAATTTAAAAAACCAGAAGGGGTAATGAAAAGGCATACTTCATCACATCCTAGTCTTCCCCAAATCTCCATTCGATGCCTCGCTTCCCTAGCACACAAAGGATGAAAAGCAGTTCTACAAGCTCCTGACCAATCAAAAAAGGAAAATGACAATAACGAATGAGATGAAGTCACATCATGTTCACGTAGGCATGTGCAGCATTAAATAAAGTAATTAAGCAAATAGAAAAATCAGACGCCACAGAACAGATGAATCTCGAGCCAATAGTCCCAGTCCGTCAATGCAATCCCAAGTAAAAGCATGAGACAATACAGGAATCTCATACTACGCGAATTGGCAATCGCCAAAAGGGCCGATAATAGAAGAGCTCTAAGACCATCCTAAGATATCCCATTCCTGGTTAAATGGTAAACCACATTCAAAAACCAACCAACCCCTTCGCGACAAGACAAGAAAATATGATGAATATACATCAAGACCAAATACACCCTACTGGTTTCAATGATTTCACAAATGTAACCCCCTCTGCCTTAGATAGGACTACCAGAATACAAAGTATCTCACACGAAGTGTAACCTACTTAGCGAGTATCCTGAGCTCCAAAGATAGCTAAACAACAAAGCTGAGGAAACAAACTACCTATCGAATGCATTATCAACCAAGAAAGGGAATATTGCTGTAACTTGACAGTTATGAAGACATGGCTGAGGTAAATGCTTCTGATCATTAAACACCCAAAGACAACTACAAATACTTCAGCTTACAGATTTAGCATGATGAACTAGATTTACATTTCATCCACATAAGAAATGGGTACCTAAAACAGTCACAACTTGCTTGCAATGTTCACGAGAGCAGATCTTAATAATAAGATACTGTAATTGAAGGCGTTCTTGTTGCAAGTCTGATCATTAAATTCTCAAAGTGAAAAACCAGCCATCCATTGAGATTTAGAAGTATCCACAAAGAACTATGCAGTTCATCTACCACCTCTAGACCCATTAAGGCTAAATTTGCCCCAAAGAGAAACTCAAATTCTTAAAACAAAACAATCCATTAACTGTAGACAAATCTGGATTTCAAGGATGCGTATGCTCCAGAAAAAACTTTCAGATCGGGGGGATCGGTAGATCATTGAAACACTATCATCATAACTCCTCTAACTGATTCAAAAGGAAAAGCTTTTTACCATAGATAGCTATTATCAGAACAGGTCTCCCTACTGCAATACTGAGCATAACTGACTGTTAATGGGCTTATCAATGTTTGACTCAATAATTAGTAAAAATAAGTGGTCCTTACTGATGATCAACAAGCCTTGTCGAAGCGTAATTTGAAATAACTTTGTTCGGCTGCATTTAATATGACAAAAATCTAACACTGTGATCTGATTCGTCTTTTGTCTCAATTTTCAGAGCAACTCTTTCCATTTCAAGGCAAACACAAAAATACAATCCATCACCCAAAAATATCATAATCATATTTATCCTCCACATTGTTGTCCCAAAACTTTGCCAAATTCATGTTTACCGCGTGAAAGGAGCACTTTTGTTTGTAAATTAATGAAACGATAAACCCACTTTTAATAGGAAATTATACTAAATGAACAAAAATAGAAATATCCACATATGAATTGTTACAATTAATTTGTCAGACACATTTAAGACTGAGAAAGCAAGTGTTTCCAGAGGAGCTTATAATTTATCCAAAAAGGGGCCAGTATATTAAATAGTCTGGAGTACTCTCTCCGTCCTTTTAAGTGTTTCCTTAAAAAGTTCTGATCTTAAAAGAGAAACAACAGAAACGGACACATGCAGAAAAGGTTGACCAAATTAGACAACTTCAATCAAACCGTAGCACACTTAAGAAAACTTTTAACACTCAAATAAAAGTGTTTACCCAAAATCTAATCAACCTAGCGCTCCAATGCAGTATGCATTTTTCTCCTGCAATGATATTGTATTATGTTTTTAAAAGATTCAACATCAGTTTGGATGAGAATTTTTACAAGGTTGGAGAAGGATCTTACCCTGCAACTTCAATGTTGACGCCCTATTACGTCTTAGAATCAACAACCTCAATCAATTACTATTTTCAATACTTCTAATCAAACTCACTTAGATAGACTCTTGATAATTAGAAGGTAAAATGGTAAATCAAGTTCACTCCTAATCTACAAAACAAATTCCTAAAAGTATCATATCCTCGCACACCCATCAAAGACCTCCTAATTACAATTTCACCCACCTTTTAACCAACACATAGGCCCCGGGCACGAAGAAAGAATTTAGCAACTTATGCAATGTAAGGACCAAACTAAGGAATAGATAAACACTCTGCAGCAAAGATGATCATGACCAATAAAATTAAGCTCATAACTTTCAGCATGGATGAACAATAGATAAATCTCTGTCAAAAGCTGAAAAAAGGAATGAGGTACTTCCCCCGAAAATTATCGAGCTAACAGAATCCCTGAAGCATTTACTAAGTGAAACTAAATCCCAAAATGTGTACAACATCAGGCTCTACAGGGAACCAGGGGAGGGATGAAATATAGGCAAAAAACCACTGGAAATCTTAACTCATGTATACAAAGTCAAGTTGAAATGAAAAAAAATTACAAACTTAAAGTTGTTCCAACCATGAAGACAGACTAATTCAAAAGAACAGCAGTAAAGTGGCAAGACATACCATTGCTGCAACGAACACAGACACCAGACTTCACCTTGCACAGGCAACATATTAGTTTCCATCTAGTCTCATTAATCCCATCAATATTCATTATTGGCTCCATACTCCTGATATTTTCCACATAAACCTCAGGCACCCACTGACAACAGAACAAGTGAGCAAATACTGAAACCGGACCCTGGTTATCTCTCTTTTGAGCAGGTTTCAAGGCACCACCTGGCTTGGAACAGAGCAAGCACGGTCTCTCACCACTCTGACCATATTTCCTCTGCCTACACCATGAGCACAACCAAGTTCCTTCGACATCATTCTGGACACCATAGCATCTTTGATGAACTGCAACACTACAGGAGCTGCAAACAATTAAACGGTTCAATTGGTCACCCATATCTCCTGTACTACAATAGTGGCATAAGGAAGTCGACCCATCAACTGGATGGGTAATCAGAAGCTTCTCTAGGCCCGCATCCCCTCCCAATAACTTTCTCTTTTTTGAAGGACGCTCGGAAGTCAAGTATATCTTTCGCCTGGAACCTAACAACCATTCATAGCTATCAAGAGCCATGCCGCCTTTGACTCCCTTCTCCAATTTAGCTCCTTCCTCCGCCTGTACAGTTTCTGTTTGCAAATCTTCATTACCTTCTCCAACAATGTCCACATCCATAGACTGACAATCCTTCTCATCATTCACAGTTCTCTCGCCACCATTTCTTTCACTGCCTTCTTCCCTAACAGAGCAATCTTTATCATCCAAACGAACCCCATTGTTCTCTTCATTGACAACTTCCACATTGCACAAATTCTCTGTACTTCCCAGTTTGCAGACAGTCCCTGCTGTTACAAATTCAGGTGTGGCTAAGTATTTATCACTGCCAGCAAAAGCTAAACATGAACCTTGATAAAGCCTATCCACGTCCTCCACAGTCAGCTCCCTAAAATACTCCTCGGTTTCAGTCCAAATGGTAGTCCCACGAGACTTCTCCGGCCGAGCTTTCTTCTGTTCCCCAGCTGAATGAGACCTCTTATGCCTCTTCCTATGACTATCCGTATTCTTGTTCAACAAATGAGCCAATGCACTTGGCAGAAAAGTGGTAGCAGGGACACTGGCACTAGCACTAGTAGAAGGAGGGTGGGAAGGGGCGTCATCCACATCAAAAGGGGAGCGCAAGCAAAGAGCTTTCCGAGCTTGGGAGAAGAAATCGAGTGAAGAACTGGAGCTCTCCATGGGCAGTTCGAGAGGTGCAATTTCCTCGGAATTGAGGGGCTTCTCAGCAATTTCAACAGAAGGTGGGGCCCTAACTGAAACACTATCCACACTAGGAAATGAAACGGGGCAAGGAGGTCTTTCTAGGGCGTTGGCGGTGGTGGCGGCCATCTCCCTCGGCCGTTCCCCGCCAATCCCTCCACCACCTCCGGTCATCACCTCCACAAGGCGTTTCCACCAACAGTAGCCTTGTAGCATTCCATTACCCGCTCTTCTCTTCCTCCTCGCGAAACCCAAACCCTAAAAAAAAAAAAATTCCTAATCTAAAAAATGAATCAAATTAGCACAGATTAAAAAAAAAAAAAAAATCCTATCAGAGCTCTGTAAAATCTCTGTCTCCGTCCGTCTCTCAGTACGGGCACTGTGTGAGTGTGTGAACGGAGAGTGTGAAAAGAGGTGCAAAAACGTGAAGGGAACGAGGGGTGTCGCGGCTAGGGTTAGGGTTTTTTTGGGGGCAAATGTACAATTTTCGGTTATTTTTGTGTAGGATCCGTTTTTTTCCTAATTTTTTTGCTTCGTAGTATTCGTCGTTTGAGGGAGAAAAAGTCGCGTTTTTTGGAGGCAGAGAAAAATAAAAAGTAACGGAGAGAGAGAGGGAGAGAGAGAGAAAGAGAGAAGAGAGAGATAATATCCGGGTGTGGTGAGGTGTACCGAATCATCAAATAAATACACCGAAGAGACGGGTCAGGTACAACCGTACTGAAATTTGCAGCGACTTTTAAGACGTGTCACGTGTACAGTATTTTCATTTCATAATTCCTTTTTCTTTTTCTCCTTTTCCTTCTTTAGGAAGAATATGTCATTTATTTTTTGCTTGACATAATAAATCAAGAAATTCCTGCTAATTGGGTGATTGCATGAGATATTCTAGTGATAATAAGTACAGATAAGATTCTTGATGGGAGTGAATTGAAAAAATTTTCGCCACAAGTGATAAGGTCGATAATCATCATCGATATATTTATACAACTTAAAATAAAAAAATCATAACATTTTAATGTATGATAATCTACCCTTATTACGATTCACTATACGTGTTATAAGTACGTAGTCTCATAACTACTTACAAACAAGAGTATTTACTAAATTGTAATAATATCACCAAAACGTAAATAAAAAAATTAAATCACGAGGAAAAAAAATATGTAGAAAAGGATATATTATATTATAAAAATCTCAAAATTAATATGGGTCGAACTATTAAACGCCCTTATTTTTTCATTTGAGCACCCGCGAAAGACCGACACGCCCCTGCAAAATGAAGATAAGTTTTTTTTTTCGAAAAAGAGGGGGGGCGAGGGAGGACCGCGCCAGCCATTAACGGCTGGCGCAGGAGAAGCACGCCATAAAGGGAGGCGAGACAGCCTTCGCCGACTTTGTTCGGGTTGGCGAGCAAATCCGATTGCCACCCATTTTTTTATTTTTTTTATTTTTTTAATATATTTAATATTTATTAGTTTAATAATTATTATTATTAGTTTAATAAATTTAATTAATTCATGTATTTATTTTATTTGAGTATTTGTTTGGTAGTTTAATATTTGTTTAGAAAATTAGGGTTTATGCTAATTAGGTTTATGATATTTAGAGAATGTTTTTTAATTACGTATATTGTTATATTAACTGAGTTAATATCTTGTTAATAATGTATTTAAACTGTTCTGTGTTTTAATTATGTCAATTACGTAGTATGTTCGTAAGAAATAGTTTATTTCTTGTTAAATGGGTGTTTAGGTAGTATGTTAATGGGTATAGCTGTTAGGGATTAGGATTTTTGTTAAAATAATGAGTGTTTATTAATAATATTTTGAATTTGTTATTAGTATATATTAATTATCTTTAAAGTATAAGATCATTATATCGGATTATATAACAATGTTTACTCATAGCAAATTATTTGTGGTTTAACAATGTTAGAGTTAATTTAAGTTATGATATAATTTGTTTTTAATGTATGCAGGATAGGTTTGATCAGGGGGATGGAATCGATTATAGTCCGGCTTTTGCTACAGACGAGACTTTTGCGACGAACAAGGAAGCTGTTGCATATACGAAGGGTATTGCGAACATCTACAATATGGTGTTAAGTGTATCATCGCACAAGGATAATAGTACTATACTCCTTTGTCATAAAGGAGGGCGGTACCAAGGTCAATAGGTGGATGAAAACGTGCGCGCCCGAGCCAATACAAAGACACAGATGACCGGATGCCAGTTTCGTGTTACTACTTACAAGATATATGATAGGTGGGCGATCCGTGTATATCCAAGTCCGTTGGGAATGCACAACCATTCATTGAAAGACCACTTGAACTTGTGTGGAACAGAGTCAGTGTTCCAAGACACAGGTTTATGGTTTGGTTATATTGGCTGGATAGACTACTTACCAGAGGAAGGCTGAAACCGATGGATTGGAATTGGTTGATGATCTCTGTCCACTGAGCCAAATGCAGGAGGAGACAGCAAAGCACCTGTTTTAACAGTGTGGTTACTCCAAAGAGATGTGGGGCAAACTGAGAATCTGGATTCAGAAGAAAACACAGGGAAGCATGTCATTTGTTTCGCCAGGCAGGCAAATGCAGAAAAGAATCCTGTATGCTGTTCTGGTGGCTGGCATCTATCAGATTTGGAAACTAGGAATCAATAAGTGCATGGAAAGAAGCATCAGGACGTTGAAGTAGTGTTTGAGGGGATTAAGGCTTAAATTACATGAAAGATCCAGCATGTTATCGCAGCAAAAAGTAGCAGTGAAAAGTCCTTTTTTAGAAGATTGCATATTTTGTAAAGTAGTCTATAGTCCCTTTTGTGTTTATGTAATTGAACTACAGAAAGATGTAGATCTTGTATATATGTGATGAGTTGGACTGGATTTCAGGTAATATAGTTCACATTTTACCTTAAAAAAAAAAGTTGTACTTTTATGACTGTATCTTACTTTTATCCTAAACGATTTCTAACAAATTAATGAATTTATCTTTCATTTCTAAAAAAAAAAATACATTTTCTATTTATTTAAATAAGCTGAGTACTATTTTACACAAAATCGTTGTTGTTGATTGAATGTAGAAAATCACATTTGCTACAAGGAAAATCACGGGACTAAAATGAATTTGAGTGTAAACTTCAAGTACAAAAACTGCTATTTTTGCCCTAATAATTACCGAGATTTCAGCTGATTTTGGTGCAATTTTGCTTAAAATGCATAACGACTTGAAAAAAAGCGGACGACTCTGCTCCAGCTGGAACTTTATTTTTCGGCAACAGTACTCCAATTTCCCATAGAGGTAACTACGTTCCCTCCGCTTGGCACATATTTCCACCATTAAAACCCAGTTGCATCTTGAGTTGTTCTTTCAACAGGCATGCTTGGTTATAATCATCTGCAGTGAAAATTTAAACCTTTTTTTCTTTTTTTGGTTCACAAAATTTCAACTTTTTCAAAGAGTGGTTCATGATATGAACTGAAGTTGCAGAATTTATTTAATTTTATTTTTTTTTGGGTTCGAATCTACATATGCACAAAATTTGATATCACCGTTTTCTTCTGAACGGTGATTTGTAATTCTGTAGAGCAATTTAACCTCATTCTGCTCAAGAATTTAAAGTTTGTTGTTTTGTGTTGGCTATTGTTTGCGAGCAATTACAATGTGCATGAACCCTTCTAATTTTTTGTACGATGGAATTCTGGAATCACTTATTTACTTAATTCAAAGTACTGAAAAAAGTGTGTGTGTGTGTGTGTGTTTTTTTTTTTTGTTTTTTTTTTGTTTTGTTTTGTTTTTTTTTTTGTGAATGAGGGTTCATTATATGTTGTTGACTTGTTTCTATAAATAGATTAGATTAATAGAATTTAGTCTACTAAATTTGAATGTTGCTTTTAAAAGGTTTTAGCTTTTCCATTGCATTTAAGTGATGTGAGAGGCTCTTGTATGCTTAAATGAGAATTAGATTGATGCAGCTTTGCACAGTCTCTTGATAGACAATAGTTTGTATTCTCTCTCGTTAGAATTCTTTAAAACTTTAATGTACCTTCTAGTATACACCTGCAGGGTTTAAAAAAAATGTCTCAGGAGGGAGGTGAAGCTACTGTTGTGACAGAGACGTCAATGGGTGCCGTTTCTGCAGAATCGAGCTCAAGTAGGTCCCCAAATAATCCCAAATGAGAGTTATCCATTTTATTTCAGCATCTGAAAACCTTCTGCCTTAATCTATAGGCTCGCAGAGGAGTGAGGACGCCCCTTCCTCTCCAAGTAGCATGAGTAATGATGCACCGGCGTTTAGTGAGATATGGCCTTACATTGACAATCATGGAGAGGTAATAACTTTGTCATTGAAATCCTATACGGTGTTATGTTTTATCAATTTCCTTAAGGTTATGAAACGGTGGTGAAACCTTGAAGATGGAACCTCGTGTTCTTTCGCAGGAAGTAGAAGTAAATTCAAGCGAAACAGGCAGGGAGGCAATTAAGAGGAAATTTGCGGATGTAGTAGAGGCATGGTACCAGAAATAAATAAAAGACCAAGGTGTAAGTCTCGAAGAGTGCAAGGACATTCTGAATTCCATGCAGCTAACATATTTGAGTCTGTACTCCAAGGTACTGCGGTACTTCGATGATCCCACTTCTCGCATCATATTCAAGGAGTTGGACCCCGACCTACGGATGGACCTGTTATTGTGCTTGTAATTTTAGGCGTGAGTTGCAGTATGCCATGCAGTTTTAGCATCTGTTTTAATTTTAGATTCTATTGATTATTTTTATAGTATCTTCCTAGCGCATCTTTATATGTAGTTCGAACTCATGACAATCCTTTCGGGCTAATTGTAATACGGCAATAAGTTGATGTACAGGTTCTGTTTCCCTTGTTTATCTTGGGCTCTATGGTGAATGTTATCTTTGACTTATATTAGAAGAGCAGAGTTAGCACTTCTTATGCTTGGCGTTAGTCTGCATCCCCTCTGTTTTGTTTTGAACTTTCAAAAGTAATGATCGTTACTTTGTGTCAAAGTTTACATATTCAATTTCTTAATTGTTACTGCTGGTATGCATTTTAAGAGTTATACATGTTAAACTTGGAAATTTGAAATACTCCCTCCGTCTCATAATTATTGTCCAATTTTACTAAAATATAATTTTTTATTTTTAGTCAAACTTAACTATATTTTACCTTGAACAACCGGATATACCCCTACATAAGTAATAGTTTAACCATAAAGATTTTAATGGATAATATTTTTTACTAAGGACAAATGTGTAACTTGATCCATAAAAAGTCAAATTGGACAATAATTTTGGGACAAATTTTTTTGGATAAAATGGACAATAATTATGGGACGGGGGGAGTACTTATTAGTTCCCCTGTTTTAGATGAATCTGTGATTCTGTGGTACTTCACTTAACTTGCGGCAATCTACGCAGTCTATGTACATCTAAGGGAGAAAAAATTACAAAAGACAGATTGATCAATTTTGTTAGAAAGGAAAATACCTTTCCAAAGGAATGATGATAATAGTAAAAATTTGCAAGAGTTGTATTAGAACTTAGGAGTGGAATACAGTTAGTCAATATGTACATGGACAAAGTTCCTTCTAGCAGCATACTTGTAGAAATTTGAGGTTTGCAGCCACTACAGAAACATCTATATTCTGTAGTTTGTTGAATTTCACCATGTTTATGCGGTTCAGAAGAATTGACTGAATCCATGCTGAGGGCCAATTTTGATCTTGCATCTCCGGCCAATGACACTGGACCCACTAATTTCTTCCCTTGGATGTCTTGTAAATTGACATAGGAAATCTTAAGCAGATCAGCCTTCACACTCCTGATGGATTCTATCATGGAATCAGTTAAAGCTGAGAAATGCTCAAAAAAACTTCCAATTACTAACCTTTCTGTGAGAAGCTCTGCCTCGAATCCCACCTTCAAACACGATCCCTGAGAGCTTGGAGTTCCTCATTTTCATTGCGAAACCCCATGGAAGGATCTTAAGAAGACAAAACCGTCATGGATAATCTGAACACGAGTATTCGAATGAGTTGTCAATTCCATCAGATTTTCTAGTACATAAGTAAAAACACCAACTCATTGGTCTTGGTGAACTTGAACACTGATGCCTGTGGAACTTCGGCTTCAACCTCTACACCAGGAACCTTGATTTAATCAGACAAATCTTTAAACCTGGATCAATTTGCTCATCCAATTGGTGAAGCATGCCAATTAAGGCTCCCGCATCACACACCAGAACTCCAATTAGACCTCTGGTTTTGACATTAAAGTTTCCTACAGCCTGCAGCTTCAAATGGTACTAAAAAATTTCAATGCTTCGAATAGTGTTTGCATTTGATCTTTAATAGGACTAGGGCCGAGCTGTAGCTTCTCCGAAAGCATCCATATGAGAGAATCAAGAAAGTCCTTAATAGCAAGGACTGTTTGATCACAACAATCCATGCCTTCCTAAGTAGAAGCAATATCCATTACTCTACTCAGCAGTAATGATCTGGATATGCTTAGAGACTGAGTGTAAGGTTGATTGACTTCTTGATTAAAGGGCACGATATTTTGTACCACTTCGGAAGTCCGGCCTCACAACTCTATAAACCATTCTTCATCAAACATATTCGTTGAACGCATAAGGAAGAGGTGTGCTGCATCGACCGCAATAGCTTCAAAGTGAGACAACAAACCTTCTAACTGGTTAACTGGTTTTATATAAAAATCAGGCCTGTGAAGGATGTGGTTGGAGATCAAACCAGCCGGTCCGTTCCAGTTTCCAAAACATAGGATCATTCTCCTCCCAGAAGCACCAATTCAAACATGTTGAGGCAGCATTCCCCTAAGCTGTTTCTTGGCAAGGTGGACACGTCCCCTATAGATTGCATCCTTCTCCGTATAATAAATAGGAAGACCTTTATATGACACATCACGAGGATTAATAACTCTACAACTTTAACATGTTTAAGGGGAAATGATATTTCTTTCCTGAAACTTGTGCATTTCTTCTTGTCACAATTATCACCTCGCAGCTGAAAGAGAAGAAGAAAAAAAAGAAAAGAAAAGCACGAAAGTAAAGGTGTTAATACTACAAACAAACACACAAAAAAAAAACCAATAGGAATATCAGTGCATAGTGCATATTAAAGAGTGAACGGACATGATCCACTGATTGAAGACATCAGACAAAAAATTTATATATTTATATTTTATGGCTAGGGGCAGTCAATATTTGTATTAGTCCATTTGAGAGTGTCTTATGCACACTGCCGATGCAATTCTTTTTGTGTATTAGTGAAACTGTGGGTACTGATTTTGGTTTTGCGTAAAGATATCATACCTTAAGGATGAACTTCTCCAAGTTGGGGAATGCCCTCATGAGATAAGTATATGAAATCAGGCTCCTGTTGCTTGGTTCAGACACTTGGAAAGATAATTGCTTTAACTGAGGAAATACTACATTTGTATTTTTACCCTGGGATGACAAAACAAAGAAAGATACATTTAGAGAAGGAATACAGACAATACAAAAAGAAAACTGAGGAGAATAGTACAGACTTACCTTAATCAATCCGAAGGTCTTGATATCTACCGTGAGAGCCTCCAGTCTTGACAGGCAACAAGCAAGCCATGAAATAACACGATCGAACAGTCCTAACATTCCATAAACTAATCCACCAATGAAAACATCCACAAGCATAGGAACATTCTTAAACCAAGTTGTGACCTTCGTTGGTTTTAAGGGAAACAATATTAGTATCACAAATAGTGAGGATACGTGACGGTGTCATACATTATCTCAAGATGTCTCAAAGCAAGAGATGGGCCACAAACTTTAAAATTTTCCAGATCATCAGAGATTTCCACTCCCAAATGCTCAAGGAAAGGGCAATTATGCAAGAAAAATTCGAGAACTTCCCTAGACACGTTTACACCTTTAAACGCCAAAGTTCTAAGGGAATTACAGCCAAAAGATAGCGCATCAGAGTTGATCCCATGCCCATAGGAATTAGGAAGAGGTAGTGCAAATGAATTCCCATTAGTCAGCCCAAGCAGGTTCAGAGAAAAATCATAACAAATGTAAGCAACCATTCCATCATATGCAGACAGATCCAACTCTAGCATGTGCACTCTCCTTGCATATGCATAATGAAGCCATCAATCGATATCATTCTTACAAGAACTCATCAATTCAAAGCGAATTTTGAATGCATCCAAAACAGTGGCCTTGTGTGATCGCACCATCTTGTTAACCCATTCAACATACTTTTGGCAATTGCTCTCAAGGAATCTTTCATAATCTGGATGCTCATCATCTTCAATCGCTTTCCACATTTTTCTCGATTCAAAATCAAGTCTATCGACATCCAACCAAAGATCTGGCCAACTTTTTGAGAAGATACTTGTCTTGGCAGCATCTTCGAGTGTCAAAAAAGAAAGGATATAGACAAGAATTTTATCTGGGAGCTGACTAATCCAGTCAACTTGCTGCTCGTCTGTTGCACGCTATTCGGGGATAAGGGAGAAAAGGAATAAAAAAGTAAACGACATTACAAACATGAAATAATAATACCATTCAAGAAAATCAAAGATATTGGCAATGTGATTTACCTTCTTGAGTTGAAAATGAGATGCCACCTTCTCGGCCATCAAGAAAATCCTTCAACGACTGCAAGGCTGATTGTCAGGATTCCATCAAAATTCAAACGAATGAAACATCAAAAATCCAAACATGCACTCAGTAATAACATGTGAACAGTACTTATGTCTTAAAAGTAGTTCTACTATACCAAAACAAGAGCAAACAAATGAAAAATAAATGAATAAATGAAGTAGTCTTGGGCAGAACTGAAAGCTTTAACAAACTTAATAAAGGAAGAACTTCTTTAGTTAAAACACAAAATAATAATAATAATAATAATAATAATAATAATAATAATAATAATAATAATAATAATAATAATAATAATAATGAAAGCAACTCACTAAAAAAAGAATAGTTGGGGAGAAGGGAGAAAAGGTAAAAGGAATAGTAGGAAGGCATTGCAGTCGTCTTGCAGCTAATTTACCAGTAAATCATAAAAAACGGCCGCAAGGTGGTTTAAAGATCCTACATTCCTACTAGCTCCTTGGAGAAAAATACAACTATTGTACAAGAAACACCACAAAACAAAACATCAGCACAACTAAAAACAACAAAGACACAAAAAGCTCTACCCTGCACAGCGTGAGCACCTCCAAAAGAAACTACCTCAGGGTAACCCTTATACTTTCTTTTCCTAAAGCTCTTAATAAACATCCCATATGAACAGAATCTATGTCCTAAAATTGTTCTTAATCATACCAAAATAGGATAAACAATACATCTAAAAATTGATCTTAGACGGAATTGTACAGATTAGAAAAATGTTTTCAAGGAAAATATTCTTTTGCTAAATATATGTATATATATATTGAATCTACACATGACAGAATCTATGTACGTATCACATTAAAAAAAAAAAAACCTAGAAAGAGCATACGAATTGAAAGCTTTGATCTCGGGAAGCAATTGGTAACATAAGGAAGAAACTTTTAAGGAAAATTTCTGCTGATAGAATCGATATTTGCTACTTACTTCCTGGTGGCCACCTAGCGAGGAAAGCAGTCGGAACCTCTACACCTCTTGCCCAGACCGCAAGTCCATTATAGTTGCTGGACTGGAGACAAATGTCAGCACAGTCTCCTCACAGTTACGAGTTGGAAGGCCTCCAGTTGAAGGATCTTGCTTCCCCGTTATTAGCCTAGAATAACTGACCAAGAATTGCAGAGAATATGTGTAGAGTATCCATAATACGGTGTTCTTCTTCCCATTTGATTTGTAATGTTACAAAAGATTCTGCTTACTTGCATCCATGGATATGCGATATTCCCATGACAGCATTTATTTCAGCTCAAACTCCGCCATTGTTCAGGTTTTGAGTGCCAGTAATGGTTTTAGTTTGATGCTGAGTTTTGTTGGTTTCATGACCTCGGATTGGGAAGGTATTGACAGGATTACCACTCCACCGCAAGCAAATTATATTTACTCCATTGAAGCCAATATTCTGGTAGGAATTGACATGATCAAGGGTTCAATTGTGTCCGCTATTGAAATTTTACTGTGATTATGATAAAGGGACTGACAAGACACGGGAAAGATTACTAGGAGTACTCCAGCTTCTAATGGTGTTGAATTTTACAAAATTAGATGAATGGAAGATTAAGGGAGAACCTGGTTAAAGTCAAGGTCAATTGATTTCAATAAATTGAAACAAAGGAGAAGCTTATCTATACCAGGCATTGAATAAATAAATACTGTTATTGTAGCTGCAAAATTGTAGTTTCTACGAATTATTGTATCTTATTATCGTAACAATAACTTATGAGAAAAATACTGGGCTATCACCCCTTTTTGTGCAGCCCCTTCCTCTAGTATATTAATAGTTTTTCGGATTTAAATAAAGACTCCTTATTTATCTATATACTGTTAGATGCTAATTGGTACTCCCTCCGTCCCATAATTATTGTCCAGTTTTACTAAAATGAAAGATTTTATTTTTGGTCAAACTTAACTATATTTTACCTTAAACAACTGGATATACCCCTACAAAAGTAATTGTTTAACCACTAAGATTTTATGGATAATATTTTTTACTAAGGACAAATGGGTAATTTGATCTATAAAAAGTCAAATTGGACAATAATTTTGGGACAAAATTTTTTGGGCAAAGTGGACAATAATTATGGGAGGGAGGGAGTAACTTTTAGTATATATATATTTTTTTTGTTACACAACTGAAACTTGGAGTGAAATTATAATTTCAACCAAATATGAGGAGCAAAATGTAATTTTTAGGTATAATTATTCATTATTACTGTTTTGCCCTTGTCAAAAACCAAAACCATTGGATTAAGTTATTTTTGGTGAATTCCTTGTAAAAAAACACTTTGACTCAAGACACTCGGTAAAATACATTGGCAAAACTGGAAATTTGCGGTGCGCCCAAAGATTTGATTCCAACCTCACCCACACTCCTTTCCCCACAGCAGTTGACGATCACCGGCCGGAACTCTACGCCGCCGTTTATTTACTCCGGCAGAGCTGGTAATCTTGCACTTTCTTCGGATATGGACAACTCCTCCGCCGACGTTTTCGGATCCTCGACGGCTCCGCTGACTTGGCACGACTTCCTGGAACGTATGCGTCATCCTTCTGCTGCCCCATTCGTAAAAGACATTAAGAGGTAATTTTCAACGATTCAATGTAGGGTGATGAGGATTCACTGAAATGTAGATTTATTTATCAGTTCGGCAAATTCTCTGATTGCAGCAATAGCTGGAATTTAAGATTTCCTATTTTATAGTCTCATGTAACCGTATGATTTAAGGTGTTTTAGGTAACTAACTCTTTAGGAACTTATGATTCCTAGAAGGTTTAGATTTGAGAATTTATTGACACTGTAATTATTGTACTATCAAAACGGAACTATCGATGAAAAATTTATTGCCAAAAGTTTTGCTTAGATTATTCTTGTCTTCCTGCGATTTCTCTATGGTTTTTTCTGCAGTTTTAAGTTACTTTTCTCCTGCCTTATAGATTAAGAAGCAAGTAAAGGATGTTTTAGTTAGATTGTCCTGTGCCATGTGGAGAGGATGATTGCTTGTACTGTGTTTTTCCGTTTGTTTTTTCTTGAACTGTATTATTATTATTATTATTATTATTATTATTATTATTATTGTTATTATTATTTATTTATTTTTTAATTGCAGTTTTATAGTGTCAACTCTGAATACTGCTCCGGATGGGGAAAGAGATAGTGCAGCTGTCCAGGAGTTTCTTGCAAATATGGAAGCTGCATTTAGGGCGCATACGCTTTGGGCTGGTTGTTCCGAGGAGGAATTGGAGAGTGCTGGTGAGGTTAGTTGAGTTCCTTTGGATATGCGTATTCTCTGTTCATATTATCAGATCTTTTGAGCCATATTATTTTATTTTGTAGGGGTTGGAAAAATATGTTATGACAAAGCTATTTACCCGTGTGTTTGCATCGCTTCCAGAAGATGTTGAAGCTGACAATCACTTGTCGAACAAGATCGCACTAATTCAACAATTCGTTCAGCCCGAAAATTTAGATATCAAACCTCCCTTTCGAAATGAAACATCATGGTTGGTAAGTTCAGTGTCTATTCATTTTTTAGAATTGGAACCCTTGTAAATACAGTGAGCGCTGCATTTTGTGATGTGAGTTATAATTGTGGGTGGGGAACTCCATTTTCTTTCCATGTTCCTTTTGTGCAACTTCTTCAGTTTGCAGCAAACTTGTCCAAATTTAATGTGAGGCCGTAGAAGCTATAACAGGGATGTATGGATGGGGCTAGTGATGGGAAAACAATTAGCTAAGATGCCCTTGAGCAGTACTGTTGATTAATGAATTTCTGGAACAGTTAGACTATGAGACTTTGATTTCTACTGGTATTGTAGAATGGTAATGAGGGCTAGGCATTCTGTGGCAATAAATGGTTGATGAGTATTATTGATGGATTATGACAATTTATGGGCTGTACCTATTCATAATACATGAGTCTATGGATGTGCTTATCTGTATGCTTGCAAAAAATCGTATATCTTATCTAAGCAGGTTCAAGAGTCCTTGTTCGTTTTTGCTCCATCTCATACCCTGTTCCTTTCCTGCTTCTTTCTCCCTCCTTACTTTCTCTTAGTTGAAGTCTTTTCTTAAAAATGTATTTATTTATTTTGCATATACGATTGTTCTTGTCTCATATGTTCTCATATATACTTCCATTCTGGAGTGATCACCTCAAAATGTGTGTGCGATGACTTCCTTATTATGCACATTCATTATGGTGGACCTAATTTAAAGTTGCATTTTATCTCTTTGTTCGTTATAGCCCTCTGAGAATTTTACCAATTTGAAAAATCTCTTTGGTGTGTACGAATTGTATGATTTGAGTCAAAGTTAATCATGGTAGCATACTGGACTTCAAGCAGAGTGAAACTTTGAAGATGCTATCTCATGTTGTCATGCTTTGTATTAAAAGACCAGAGAAGCACTTTGTAAATGACATTTGGTGATTAGGTGCAAGGTGGATTTAGACGTATGGTAGTAATGTAACGTACTGGGGGAATAAAATGATAAAAGGAACAAACAACCTCAGTCTAATCATAGTATTGTCTGCACCTTGGGTTTTCTTTAGTAGTCAACTTTTCTTGTGAGCTGTAAATTTCTGCTTATGTCTTTGGTTAATCATCTCCATGTGATTGTGTATCTCAAGGAATACACATTGTGATTGTTCCGCTGACTATTTATTTAGTACCTTTTTCATGGCAATAAGTCTTCCTTTCTTTTAATCAAAGCCGGATCTCAACTTTGCTAGCCAATCGGAAATCTCATGTCCTTGCAATTTTTATTTATTTTTTATTTTTTTAATTTCTATTGTTTTTTATTTTTATTTTTTTTTTGCAGCTTGCTCAGAAGGAGTTACAAAAAATTAACATGTACAAGGCACCTAGAGACAAACTTGTTTGCATTCTGAATTGTTGCAGAGTTATCAACAATCTCCTCTTAAATGCCTCCATTGCAGCAAACGAGAGTCCTCCAGGAGCTGATGAATTTCTTCCTGTTCTTATTTATGTTACCATAAAGGTAAATTTGCTCTCTCTCTTTTTTTTTTTTTCTTGTTTTCCCACAATTTAGTCATGGGCCGAGCCTTAGAAAGAGTTCTTATTATATCTGATATGTTTTCTCAGAAATAGACCATTCCCGTTCGTATTTGCAGCAAGTTTTTATATTTCCCCGTTTGGCTCTTTAATGCTTTTCCCAAGTAATTTAGTAGTAATACTTTTCTTAATTAATTTATTGATGATGTGCTGCTTTAAGTAATGCTATAATATATTTATTAAGGCCTTATCTGACAAGGCTGGGTACAGGAATGGATACGTGAAAATATTGTTTTTGTGAGTACTCCGAGGCTGGCTACGTGAATGGATATTGATTTTTAAAAGCTCATTAACAGTTCTGGAAACTTTCCAGAAAGTTGTCATACAGAAAATGTGAAAGTTCATGGTTGATTATAAATACTTTTGTCAACGATGAACTTATTGAGGAGATGTTTTTATACGTCGCATTGATTAGAAAAAGAGGTGGTTCGTTGGAGGGTTTAGGAGTTAATGGATGGGAACTGAATGATGCATGATTGTTTTGGTCAGCTTAATTGGGACTGTGAATAGTGTATATTAGAAGTTTGATATGATCCATATCCAAGTAATGTTGGAGCCGGAGTGATCCAACTTCTGGATGCCAGCATTTTGATAGTAAACTTAATGTTGATACCCTATCACACACATTTGTATCCACATTCCTTTGGATGAAAAAGGTGTTCCATGGTCAAAGGTTGCATGATCAAGTCAGAATATTGTGGACCTGTTCTTTATCTTCTTAATTTTATTTATTTTAATTTCATTTTTTGAAAATTATAGCATGGTATCGTTCCTCCTGAATGTATTCAAGGAGAAATTGCGTGTACCGATTAGCATTGGTCTAATTTTCAAAAGCTGTGCGGATAATAGTCAATCCCTCTAATCTCATGCTTTATTGGTGTTAACTGTTAACCGTTGGTGAAAGGTTTGGAACTTCACTTGAGATTTTTACATTTGGGATGTGGGAAAAGTAGAGGAGCAGGATTAAAAGGACCATTTGTCCTGAAGTTCTGTCTCTGTTTCTCATTTTGGAATTTGCATGGTGGTTTATTCTCTGGTACTGGAACTTGATTTTATTGGTATACCATAAGATTCTCACTGTTAAGAATAAAAAAGATGACATGAATAATCTACTCAAATTACGTGTCTTCGACATATGATCCTTCAATTCTTAAATATCTCTTGCTGGAAGAAAGTTTTTTGGTCTCTTTTCACCTCATTTGAAGCAGTTATCATAGCGGAATTTCTTTTATTTTTTAAAATTTTTATGCCATGTCAGAAGTCCCTGGTAATGGCTGTTTGCTTGCTTTGTCATATTCCTTTTATCTAAGCAGTATTTGTTCTCCTGGCCTCACAGTAACTTTTGGTGTTTCAAACAGGCTAATCCTCCGCAGCTACATTCCAACTTATTATATATACAGAGGTATCGGCGCCAGACACGTTTGGTTGCTGAATCGGCTTACTTTTTCACAAACATGCTCTCTGCTGAGACTTTTATTGCAAATATCGATGCAAAAGCTCTTTCTATGGATGACACTGAATATGAAAACAACATGGAATATGCTCGTGCACTTGTGTTGGGAACATCTGGGGGCTCAGACAATCCACCTAGTCAATCTGATCAGAATGCTGATACTATGGATTCTCAGAAGGGTGCAAATTTTAACAAGCATGGACTCTTGAAAGTGCCAAGTCAGTCCTCCCTTGAATCATCTGAGACCAGATCAAAGGATGATGAGCCATCTGCAAAAGATCAATTGTCCAAAATCCCATCTATCTCGGATGTAGAAAATAAAGGCGCCAGCATGCTTCTCAGACAGGAGAAGGCACAGGATGCATTTCAGGACTATCCTTTCTTGTATTCTCAGGCTGGTGACCTGACCATTGCCGATGTGGAAGTTCTTCTAAACCACTACAAAGAGCTTGTTTTCAAGTATGTCTGCCTCTCTAAAGGCTTAGGTGTGGAAACTTCCTTGCATCCTCCATCTGTAGAGCAAGGCAAGACAGGACACGAGCTTGGATCTTCATCAGAGGCACATGAGAGCAACATGGAAGAAAAGTCCAATGTTGAACTGCATAAAGACTTATCTCAGACAGCTGATAGTTTGGCTGAACCTTTTTCTGAGGTTGATAGTGCTGAATCGAAGTTGTCTGAGTACGAAGATCATCCAAGTCAAACAGCTTTCGGGGAGGAAACACCTGAGAGATAGCACACAATTGTTCATCCAATACAACTGTGAAGTCTTTGATTCAGCTATATATTTTTGGGACATGTGGGCTTTGCAGCGGGTCAAAGGCACAGGCAAAGATTTACACGGGCTTGAGCCAGACTTTTGCAGCAAATCGCTAGCACAGGCGTGCTTGAGCTCCCTGGTGGCGTTTTCTCAGTTAAACATTCTTCGTTTCCTCTCCATAGATCTCACGGTGTAATAGAACAAGCTTTTCAGGAAAGAGAGCAATGTATGTAAGCATCAGAACTAGGACACTGGGCCACATTGTTTTGTTCACTACGCTAATGAAGGGTAAAAAAGTGTACGAAGAGGACTCATGTTTTCTTTGGATTTAGGGCCCTGGATGATCAAGTTGATTAAGGATCGTTAGATTTGTCTTGTATTCAATATGCAACTTTTAACTGAGCAAAGAAAGATGCACATGTTGAATTTAAATGCGTTAATAAGTGTGGCACAAAAACGTTACGGAATATGTTATATGTTTGAAAAATAAAAATAACGTTAGTTTATCATAATGTAACGAATAAAATAAGGAACTGAAATGAATTCGGAAGAAATCAAATCGCGTCTCATCAATGTTTAATTTCTACACATCTCTAAACGGGAAGAAGTCCTTTTCATGCTGGACATCATTTATGCTCCAAAAAAGCCTAATATGATTGTTTGCAGAAGGCGGAAAAATGAAGTTTGGCAAGTATATATTTTCATTCATTACGAGCACTTATTTTCATTATGGCGATCCAAAAACTGAAGTTAATGATTTTCAGAAAAAAAAAACGCATGCTGCCTATTTCATGAATGGGCGGGCCGATGGGAAAGGGAAAACCGTGCTTCAAAGACATGGAGAAAATAGTACATAGAATCGAACTCTTATTAATCTTACGATAACAGAATATTACTACTGCCGTCCCAAAAAAATAGTCTATATTGAGTTTTTAAATTTGTACTTAAAACAATACAAAACTCAAAACTCAATGTGGACTATTTTTGTGGGATGGAGGGAGTAAATAATAACTCGTTCATCAGTATTAATCAGAAAACAAAAGAGAGGACATTACATTACAAATACAATAAAATTCAATTCAGAATTCTTTTTTTCGGAGAATTTTGAAAAATGACAGTAATGCAGGGCGGTAGCTTCTCCGTAGACAAAGGGCATAGGTCCAGTTGTCCGGAGCAGATCATGTCTGGGCCTGGTGGTGAATTCATGGGGTTGATTACCTTTTTCCGGACACAATAAATAATAATGGTAGTAGTAATCTTTATTTTTATTTTTTGGTTATCCCACAACATAACCCATGTTATCTTGTGGTCGACTCCATTCACCAATCCCACTCCATTTTTATTTTAATAATAATAGTACTTTTATTTTTTAATTTCGGGAAAAAAAAAATGGTCAGGACACGTGACGACAAATGAATGCTCTGTTTCTTTAAGGTTCTTTTTCTGCTCCTTCTTACCTAATCAGACAGTTCATTTTCAACTCAAGAGAAATGACAGCCCCTTTCCCTCAAAATCACAAAAACAATATACTACTAGTATAAAATTACAACCAAGTTAGTTAAAATGTCGCCTCAATTGACTTCCAAACTTTGCAGTCACGTCCCACAAATACATGCCCTCTACGATAACAACCACGACCTATTTTAAGCTTTTGACTCAATTATATTCCCCGTGTCCCAAAATTATTGTCTAGTTTGAAATTTCACTTTTAATACGAATTAGAAATAAAAACTCAAAACTGGACAATAATTATGGAACGGAGAGAGCACGTGTACCATGCCAAATACTACTACTTATGTGCTTGTGCCTTAATGTGTAACCGATATTACTACTTTCGTGACGATTGCCTCTATAGTTTTAACCTTATTGTGTGCTTCATGTCATAACCGGGAAATGAATATATTTCGGATACGATACCGCCCAAATGAAATGGACTTCCACAAGAGATTGACTGAAAACATGTTTGGTAGTTGAAATGATTTAGGGTAATGAAATCAGGGCTCAGACCTCGCAAGAGCAATTAAATTAGGGAAAGAAAAAGGGAAATTTGGTTTGATAGTTACAAAATCAAATGTTTCATTGGTTCCCGAAAAAATAATTGTTCATATGATAATTTATAATTTGCACCAAAAAAAAAAAAGAACGATACAAATTGCAATGTGGATTATTTTTCTGACATGACGGGTGTAAAATGCTTTGGTATATTTTGAAATAAAATTGTGAACGCCGTCAAAATCAATATTGAGTGTTAGGATGTAAACAACCAAAACTCATAAGCGTGTGTTTTGTGGTCTTCAGTCAATCAATAGCAAGCAAATTCTCAACCATTTTACACTTCAATACCAGAAAGGTTCATATACGAGATAGCCTCTGGTGTGTATCAATTGATTTTTGAACGTCAAAAACGTCGCATTTATCAAGCTAGTAGTATTATTCATTAGACTAACTACAAAACAAACATTACGGCCAGTTTGACCATATGACCACCTTCTATAACGTTAAGAAAATCTCGTGTCGTAAAAATGTCAATTTCTGAGAAAATATAACTACCTACGTTCCTTAATATAAGACATTTTGATTTGTTATATGTTTAACCGAGTACGTCTTTTTAATTAACTAAAAAATCTTTAAAATATTTCATTACAATCAAGAGAATATAACAAATGTGAAAATATATTTTTAAAATTTTTTCGTCAATTAAAAATACGTACTGGGTGAAACCTAAAATAATATCAAAATGCCTTATATTAAGGACCGGAGGGAGTAAAATATATTAATATTTAAAATAGAAAGAACTTGGATAACCAAGATTAGTTGGAATCCAAATTACACTGTCGTATCTATCTATAAGCAAAAATTAAAAACTATATAAAAAAATAAATAATTTACAAAATTATTATTTTCAAAAATAATACTAATAATACCTGTGAATAATTGAAATTTCGGGAAATCAGGTCCCTCCAAAATCCAATTATACAGTTGTAGCAGCTGGCTGATCATGCATTTGGTTGTGGTTGTTGTTAGGTACATGAATCTGTTGAATCTGTAAGCTTCTCAACGTCGTCATCCCGCCGGATCTTCTCTTCCACAGATTATTGGTCTCCGACGGCGGTTGTGCCGCTTTCTTCGGCACCGGCAATGGCGGATCCAGTTCACTGATATTCAATTTCTTCAAATCATTATTACCGTAGGTAATATCGCCGCCGCCGTCGTCGTTATTGATTTTGGATGATCTTCTCGAACCGCTTCTCCTCAGGACTATCTCCCTGCAACTCCTGCTTCTTCCGACTTGGGACGCAGTCGCGGTGGTGGTGGCGGCTGCGGCGGTTGTAGTAACGCTACTAGTAGTCAGAAGATTTTTCCCAGAGAAGAATCTCTTGAGCTTGGTATACTGAAAGGGCCCTCGATTTGAACTGGGTTTTGATGATTTAATCATGGCGGTGGCGGTGGTGGTGGCGGCGGCGGCGGTGAGCCTATACGGCGTTGAGAAATCGATGAATTGGTGGGGGTTTTTCTTCACATGGCCCATACAGCTAACTTTTGGAGAAGAAGGATCATCAGATAAGGAGGAGGAAGAAGAAGTTGAACGATCTTTGTAATCTCCTCCGCCGCCGAGCCTGACATCTCTGATTGAAAGTCGGCAGAGTAATGGCAGAAATGTACTGTTCTTGTTGTAGAGGCTTTCTTGGTGGTGGTGGTGATGAGGATGAGGAGGAGGGTTACGGTGTTGAAACCCATTTCCCATTTTTTTTTTCCTAGATTTTGCAATCTCTTTGATCTTTGTTCTTCCCAGCTGAATTTTGAATTTTTGTTGTGTTCTTTTGGGTTAAGTGTGTGACTGTGTGTGTGGGGAGTATGAAGTATATGGAGAGGGAAAGCAAAGAATTGGTGGGGGAAGATGAATGTATAGAAGTAAATCGGGTTCCACCTCAAAATTAATTGACAACGAAGAAAGTAGCCCATAGACTTATATATTGATATAAGTCTTTCTCACCACCCATGTGTGATACTCAAGAGAATGAATTATGAATTAGTAGGTAGCAACTAGTACTCTTTCCTTTTTTTCTCAATGACACATGTTCTTCTTTTGTCTTTGTCTTGTGTGTTTGTTTTTGTTTAATCTTGCCATCAATTTCTCAAATTCAAAAAAAAAAAAAAATTCAAAATATAACAGTTTGATGCTCAAAATGAATTAATGATGAACAAGAAATAAAGGAAGAGATGGAAGTACACAATTTTACTTCATCCATTACGGAAATGACTGTCAAGTTTAGATTTTTAATTTTAACGTAAATTGTATTAAAAATAAAAAAATTTAAATTAGACAAAAATTTTAAGACAGAGAGAATAAGATTTTTAATCGATTAATCTTAGAAATTTTAATCGATTACTTCTACTTAAGAGAAAGGGTGAGTATTTGTTATGATTTTTTTGACCAGCACATTTATTTGTTTTTTGTACGACAGGAGGACAAGCAAATAAAACTCACATAGCTCTATCAATGTTGTACATATAATAAAACTATAAAAGGTGATGAGAATCATGTAGCCTTCCATGGAGGTTCTTCTAGTGAGGGGAATGAGTTAGTCCTTCATTCTAGATTTGGAATGTCAAGTTTACTTTGCAGGCCAATCAAGGAAGAAAGGATGGATCTTGACTACCTATGTGATAGGGAGTTGGTTCAAGAGAGCTATGATCAAGGTGATGAGAATGTCATTAACTTTGGGGTGCAAACCAAAGGAGATGAAGACCTCATGGAAATAAGTGCTGAAGAGTATCAAGAGAGTTTGACTCTGTGTGCTCCATGAAGATCATTGATCAAAGCTAGTGAGAAGAGTCATTTAGGTTCATGAGTGGACGGCCTATTTGATCAAAGTGTTCAAGATTGAGTCCATTGCTACACAATTGGATAGGTTGCAAACTATCTTAATTGTTTCAAGTGTTTTCCATTCTTTTGGAGTCAATAAGGTGAATTCTACAAGTTTTGGAGTAAATTGGAGGTTTCTACAACTTAAGGGGCGCAAGACCAATATTCCACTTTTGGAAGGGCGTTCAAGACATTTTACTTCAATAATTTGCAGCTGAATTTTGAGATTAGAGTCATTGTCTAAGTCTAGGAGTTATTTTCGAATTTTTATCTAGTTAAATAAGTCATGTGGACTGAATTAAGCTAGAGTGTTTGATTAAGAGTCTTAGATTCCTTCTAGATATTATCCTACTTGAGGATAAGTGATTTAGATAAGGTTTCCTAGATTTTAGATAGAGTCAAAGAGATCAAGTACTCTTCTACTTTTACTCCTTGTGAGATAAGATTAGAGAGTCCTAATTGGTCTTCTTTTTAGAGGTGCTGGCCGAAAAATTCAAGCCTACATATAGGAGGCTTGGCCGAATTTTAGAAGCACCCTTGAGTGGTCATTTTGTTGTCTCTTTGAGAGTTTTTCCGTGAGGAATTTTTGTTAAATGGAGTGTCCATTTTTCGTGTCAAGTATGTTTAAACCAAGAGGGTTTTCATCTTGTCTTGGATCTTTTGATCTTGCGAAACCATTCTTTTCAAGTATGCTTCTTGATAGAATTGTTTTAAAACTAAACTTCTTGTTTTCATACTACTTCTAGTAGTTCGATTGATGAGCCTTTCCTTTGGCTTGGTGTTCGAATTTCATGATGAGTGTGTTCATGAGATCCATGGTGGGGTTTGTCCTACTTTTGTTGGGATGAGTTGTGCTTTGGCATAAGCATTTTGAGATAGTGTATGTGTTGCATATCTTTGGTTGGTTATGAAGATTACTAATTAATAGTATTCCTTCATAGTTGGGCATTGTTTGCTCCTACCTTTCTTGAATCTCTTGATTAATGACTGATCGAGTATATTGAATGGTGTCCTTGCTATTCTTAGCGTGGGTTGTTGTTTAATTCGAATCTTTCATGGATAATGTGTTCTTTGCTTGGTTTGAGTTAAGAGATAGAATCACTTAGATAAACGATCGTCTTACTGTGAATTTTCCGCACTCTTTTGAGTTTCACGGGATAGACAAAATTATCTTCGTACTTTCTTGTTGATGGTTGCATTAACGAAATTTGCTTCGTCTACGAGATTGCTATCAAAAGGTGAAAGAATATATATATATATATATATATATACTAGTGATGTCTGGTTGCGCAATATGCGATCATGGCCCAATATATATGTAGATCTTAGAAATATTTGTATCCGAAAAAAAATATTTTGTATTTGGCCCGATATATTTTAGAAATATTTGAAGAATTTTAGAAATGTTTTATAAGTGCGAAGTTTGTATTTGGCAAAAAATAAATTGTATTTGGCCCGGTACGTTTTAGAAATATTTGAAGATTTTAAAAATATTTTATAAGTGTTACTTCTTAAATATAAATAAACTTGATCAAATATATGTCTTGAAGTAAATGCTAGACAAAATATAAAAGCATCCTAATAAGTTTAAATATTAGTAAGATAATTTATTGATGTTCTCCATTGGTTGGGCCAAATCAATACTTAGTTTTAGAAATTTATAATAGCTTTGTAGTTAGCTTCCTCCAAAGGGTATACGCTTAATTGTTGGAACTATTTCTTCCAAAAATTTATAGGTAGTAAAATATCAAAAATATGATTTAAAACTAGTTAATTGTTGAAACTGGTTGATCACAAATACGAGAATGAAAATAATGTAAATTTGCATAGGTTTCAAGATATAGCAAAAAAGAACTCACATCATCATGGGAAATAAAAAAAAAAGGTAAAAAATAGCCCATTAAAATTTGAAAATTTTAATTTTTTTTCTGTAGGTAAAAATGATGTATAAAAATACAAATAAACGTAGAAACATCATTCTTTCCCTCTCCACCTCAAATTCATAAAAGAATCTCCCATAAATTAGTTAAAAGAAAAGACATGAACTATTTATATGATGAGGAACTAAAAAAAGTCCAAAAACCAAATCCAAAAAAGTATATTCTTAAAATTCCGAACACAAAAAAAGAAACGTGCTTCATTTGTAAATAAAATAATAATAATAATAATAATAATAATAATAATAATTGGTCAACTGGAAGTATGAAACAAAATGAAAAGTAATTAAACAAAGAAAAAACACACTTCATAATTGGCCATATACGAAAAAAAACCCGAGACGCCATAATTAAAAAAAAAAAACCAATCTAATTGAATGAAACATAATAAAACAAATTTAAAAAACCACACTTTGTAATAAAAACCCAATCAATCAATTCAATCCAAACATAACTAAACTCATACAAAAATTCTAGGCTAACTAACTAAATAAGAAATCACATCATACTACCTGACAACGGCTACGGTAGTTGTAATGGATGGACGCATAAAAATAATAGTAATAACACTATTCTTGAACGGGAAAAACAAAAAATAATAAAAGCCAAACCAATGATCTGTGGAAATAAAATCATTTAAATTTTAATACCTGTAATGGCACCACCACAACGGCCGAAGCAAGATCAATGAGAATTTTTTATCTTTGTGTTTATATAGAGAGGTAAAGAGAATATTTTTTGAAGTTGAAATTTTATCCGATTAAGATGTAGTTAATCATCACTAATGAAAAGATTGAACATGCTAATAGGAAAGGAGTATATTTCACCACGTATTCTCAATTGATGATTGATGAGGAATTTTTTTTTTTTAAAATTGTGGAGAAGGGATTGATTAAGGAGTCGATTGTCGTGGAGATGAGGATGAGAATTTGGGTTTTTTTATAAACCTGTGATTTTTTTTTTGGTTTGTTTTGACGAAAATAGGAGGTGGAAGTGAATTTAGAGTGCATTTGCCTTTTAAATTTAGGAGATGTGGTAGTAAAAATTTATTTTAAAATATGATGTGGAAATGCCACATGGCAAATGATGGTGCTTTCTCTTAAGTGTGGTTTTTGTTTATAATATAGTAAGATATAGCTTCAACTTTATAGAATTTGCGATGTACGTGACATTCAAAGGCAAAACTAAAAATAAAAATATCATAATAGACGTTAGTTTCTCAATCGATTTAAATAAAAAAAAAAGAAAAAGAAAAAAGCAATTCTCCTGTTTTACAATAATAATCTTTTTTCTTTTCAGAATAATATTTTTCTTAGAGACGAATAATATGGTGAAAAAGTTAGATGAAAGGATAAAAATGAATATTAATATCACGATTGTTGATACGTAAATAAATATATTCACAACAAAATTCGCTTTCACGCCTTTTTACTTCATATTTTCCATCACCTTTCCTAACCAAACTTTTAGCCCCTAAACATTTTTTTATGTGTCTTTCATAAAAAACTTTTGATTGTTATGTATCTCTTGGCATTTGCTGATCTGTCAGTATCTCAAATGGTTAAAAATTTCTGTAACATCATTTTTGTCTCCCCCTCTCTCTTCTTTTGATGCAATATAGATGAAACAAATTGTCTAATAGAAAGATTTAACACATTCTACTCCATCTGTCCCAAAATTATTGTCCAGTTTAAAATTTCACTTTTAGTAGAATTTGAACTAAAAATAAAAACCCATACTTGACAATAATTATGGGACGAAGGGAGTATTATAAGTTGATTTTAGTTGATTTAACACATTCTATTTAAGATTTTAGTTGATTTTGTCTAAGTTGATTCTGTTATAAGTTAATTTAACAACGTGTGAAGAATTATTTATCTTTTAATTATCCTTGAACAAGTTTTATCATCCTAAAGGACAGCCATGATTGCTCCTGCTACCCATGTTCATATTTAGTTTGGAAAATCAAGCCTGCATTATCATCATCTCAGAGTTCACACTAAATATGAACTTGAGAATTGAGACAAATTTGATGATGGTGGTTAATCAAGTTAATTATATATATTTAAACAATTTTCTTTTGTTGAATTGAGTCAAAGAGGGGACCGCTACGTAGCTTTGGATTCTTCCTTGAATTTATGTGCTACTGACCCAACATGAGGGTAACTTGTGTGTTTGTAATTATAGCCGAGTTCATGAAGAATTGAATGTAGATGTGATTTGATATAATCACATACTCCGTCCATCTAAAAATACGGTATTTATTATTTTATAAGTTACAACACATTTAATCATTTTGATTAGGAGTACAACTACAGTAGTAATTGTTGCTAAATTAATAATCTATATTAATAATTTTAAGTAATTTATAATTTTATCCTGTTTTAACTTAGGACTCATACAAAAAGTGAGTAAAAATATAAAATCAATAATATAATAAGATAAAAAAAAGTTTTAGAAAATTTCTATATATCTATTATTCCCGACAATTCTATAAATTAATGCTTACGGTAAACCAAAAAAAAAAAAATAATGATAGTAGTTATAAATATTTATTTAAATATGAATTATTTATACTTGTTTTTTTTAATTACTGAATATGATATCAACTAGGGAATATTAGTGTATACATCCCAACGTTTATACCCTGTTTGTGAATTCATCCCAAAGTTTTAAAATTGGTTAATTACGTCCCAATATTATGAAAATTGAGCAGATCCATCCCATCACCTGCAACCAATAAAAATGTCCTGGTATAACAAGTAAAAATTATTTAAATCCCCTATTTAACGTTTTTATTTCTATTTTTTAAAAAAAAAATTAAATTTATTTTAGTTTATTCAAAGAAAAACAACATTAATAAATGGAGAAATTAAAAAATTTAATTAATTATTAATGAATCTGATATTTTTCTTAATCTAATTCATCTTAATTTTTAACAAAATTATAAGAAACGTCCTTAAAAAAATTCTCTATTTTGAGTGTAAAAATAGAGTGATTAAGGTTTCACATAGATATATTTGTATTCAAAAATTAATTAATTTTGATTTTATTCTAAATTGTAAGTTATTTCATTTGTGGTGAATAAATTTTTTTATTAATTAATTAAGTTTCACGAGTTTTTTCTTATCAAAAAATTTTCTTTGTTTTTAATGAGCTATAAAATGACAAACAATAGAAAATGAGTGAAAAAAAGAATGAATATGAGGCCCAATATATTTTTACCTGTTGTATCAGGTCATTTTTTATGTTTTGCAGGTCACGGGATGAATTTACCAAATTTTGATAACCTTGGAACATAATTGATCAATTTTAAAAAGTTCGGATGAATTGGCTTGCTGGTGTAAACGTTGGGATGTATGCACTCATTCACCCAATGAACTATGTACAACATGAAAGTAAGGATAAATGAAAATTAGGTAATTTAATAAGAGTTTTTTTTCCCTTAGAAAACTCTTTAAATTTATTATTTATTAATTTATTGATTGTTTAATAATATATATTTGTTAAAAAATTTCGATAGTCCCAATACTATTAATTTAAAAAAGTTCTATTGTAACTCTATGTCCTTTTTTTTTTTTTTTCTTTTTACGTCATTCTTTAGCTCATTTTCTTGTAACATATAATGTTTTAGTTCAAAAAAAGTAGTCACTGGTGAAATCTTTCTACATCCGTGTTTGTTAGCTGCAATTTTGTATATAGAAAATAAATATTCATCTTTAGAAATGTAAAAAGAATAATTTTTTTTTCCGTTTTTTATATTTCACGCTTTTAGTTCTTCGTTTTGTTTGGTTTTAAGTATTTTGGAGGCAAAAGGTTCTCAAAATCCTAAAAAATACACCTTGGCTACTCATTTTAACTTTCTACTGACATAGATTTATTAGTTAGTTGATTAACTACAGCAACACAAAACCAAAACTTACAATTAGATTTAGAACCCCATGGAAGGAAAAAAGAAGTGGAAAATCAGAAAACTATACACTAACCATAGATTGAAAAAGGAAGATATTCAATTACAAGTACAGAAAAAAATCTTACTAACTCTCCCCAAAAGGCTAAAGGTTCAGCAGCAAGGACCTTGACACCTTGTACAGATTTCAACAACCTAAGGTATGGTATATAATTTTCTGCAGAAGAAGAATGTTGTTGCAATAACTATTCATTGCTAGGAAGTCTCAGACGGTAAATATCTCCTCATGTACAGAACAAAATTGTAATACTCCAAAATTAATCCAATCCTTGCCGCTCAGAGACAGTGCTGCATACTCATCCAAAGTCACATGAAGCATCCGCGATTTTGTCTCTGTCCAAGGCATCTACCACCGCAATGTTCTTTCTGCCCAACGCATCCATCGCCGACTGAAGGCTATTGAAATGGAAATTTTTGTTGTCAGCTTCTTGACTATCTAGCTGCATCAATATACAAACCTAAAGTAAAGCATTCCAGACTGCTTCTTCCCCTTCACCACACCGTTCATGTACAAATTTGAGTCTTTCAACCGATTTGCAAATCCCACTACAACTCCAATCAAACGAGGCAACACACACATTTCCAGCCTGTGCCTTCCACTCGCATTCTGCCAAGTTCAACAAATTAAGGAACAAAAAAAAAAAAACAAATGTTAACAAATCATACACCACGACTGCAGAATAGTAGCAAATCGCACAACAACAAATTTCATGCATTTTCCAAACACATTTCCGGTTATAGTAAAACAGGTTTGTAAAATATTATTTTTATAAACATTGTTCTCATTACATCACAAATGAAGAATACCTGGAGGAGTCGCACAGCACATACTGCGGTCATCAATGTGCTCAACTTCGAGGCCAATGAACCATGAACCCAGCGACACATCCTCATTGGCATACTTGTGCAATATGGGCCTAAAATCACAATTATCACAATGGCCGTTTAGTGAAAATGCCTAAACAAACTTATTAGAGGATATATGCTTTCTTTCACCTGGAGAACGTTACAATTCAACATCATATCACCCACTAATCTGCAGTAGTTTGATTACAAATCTTTCTCGACATAAACTAGCATCAATACGAATCTACTTGGCTCACTGCTGAAGTTTATTCAACTTAGTTACCAGTGAAAACTGAATATAGTGGTCCAACTTCAACTACATTACCATACTATATTTCAATACGAATCAACTTTAACGATGTCCGGTAGACTTCTACAATGATTTTGGTTTAGAACGACTCTTTACAACTAAAGCAGCAGCATAGTATTAACTGAAATGAGGGGTTTCTTACTGGTTGATGGAAATGTAAGTAGCTAAATCCTTGGAAATAGCATATATCTGTCCAGTGGCATGTCTAAAGTATTTGTTTCCATCCTCTCCAAATTTCCAGTACTCAGGCTCATGGTACTTGACATTGCTAGAGAGCAAAGAAACACATCAGTATACTAGTCAAAGGCATTCCAATGAGGAAAAGAGTCAGGGAGAAGGCATGATGAGAAAGATGGATCTAAGTTTACCTTTGAGCAAGTACAGGCCCAGATTTCATACAACCGATGTAAACTCTCGGTTTTGAACGATGTCGTGCAAGAGTTGCTGCGAGCATGCCTACAGAAACGAGTATACGATGTCATTCCTTATGTATTGTACAAGAAAATAAATTCCGTAAACTGTATCAACAACAGGAGAGCTTTGATAGGGTACTACCTAAATTGACGTGGACATCATCATCAACCTTCACATAAAAATCAGCATCCCATTTAGCTACAGCAGTAGAAAAGAAAATTTTTGTTTTTGCTGATAACTCATGATATCCTTCGACATGTTCCTGCAAGGAATGAGAATTCAGATAAGTATCCTTTGCAAATGAATGGGGAAGAGGACTGGAGACTATAAAAGGAAAATCACATTTCTTGTTTTTTGTTTTCTAAATTGGGGAAAAAGTGTAATTGACTATATTTTTAGTCATTTTCAAAAAAAAAAAAAAAAAAGACTATAGTTTTAGTCTTTACCAGCCTGAGGAAATCCTTATGTTGTGCTTCCTCTGAATCAATAGCTCGGTCCAATATGCTATTAGATGTTGCACTGCATGAATCAAAATAGCATACTTATTTGCTTAACTCAGTCCAACCACTACAATAAAAGAAACATATAAAGCGCACCTTACTGTAAGGGAAGCTATAGTGGGTTCTTAATCATATCTTACGGAAATATAAAAGAACAGAATGTCAAATGTTTGTAAGTTTCCGTTTACCAAAGACCCTTTCTCCATAAAGGAAGAGGATTACCAGAAACAATCAAGTATTCAAGATTTCTTAGAAAGTTTAACGTTAACAATACTTGCCACACGCAACATATGTTCCAGAATTCAAGTTACATTGAACAAACAAAATTGTTAACCCAAAAAAAAAGGAACAAAAAAAAATCAAGTTAAAATGTAAATGCTAAAGCGGCCACATAAAAGTTTCGTTCATATTGCTTATGTGTCTCCTTCATTATTAAATCATACAAAGGACTATTGTTAACATCAACACGAGAAATCCTTTCAGTTATAATTGCCGGTTCTGCTGTATGAAAAGGCAGTATGTAACAGGTCATAAACATGCTGTTTGAGATGAGATAGAATTTACCGATTATACATGTAAAATTTCAAAAATAATAAAAAGCGAAATCCTAGTCCCAACATAGAGTAAGAAACAGGTACATGTATCAACTATTCAACACGATAGGGGAAATATTCTTGGTGACCAAAGCAATAGGAGTATAAAGAAAGCATTTTCTACACTCTAATATATATGCATGACTCTGAGATTTTATCAGTAGCTTTTGAGCAGAATACTAGCGCTGCAGCTATCTTAATCAATTGCTATCTAGATTGTTGAATGAAAAGACTTGGTGAATCAATAAAAAACGATCCTTTCAAACTATAGATGATTGCAATTCTCAGCTTGTAATAAAGATAAGCAAGATCAGCCAGAACAAAAAGTTCCAACATGAATACATTACATCAGCACACTAGTATTCAACCTAGAATCCCAGATCCACCTTCCAAAGTCCCCCTTCCTAAAGAAGGAAATTCACCCATTCCCATTACAAAGCTTTGCATATGAATTAATAAAGTTCTGAAGTGTTTACTAGTCCTTCACTTGAAAATATACATACATCTAGAAGATAAGAAATCATAAACTCCCAACACCCCCTCCCAAAAAAAAAAAAAAATTGTCACAGCCATCAAGTTTCATGGCCTTTCTGAATAGTGTAGATTTGAGGTATGCCATAGTATTTTACGAGACCCACAATTCAGTAAAAGGTACGACAACCGTGTCCTGGACACTTCGTGTGAATCAAAGCAAAGAAAAAGACAACCAGAGTTAACAGCTTTTGAATCTAGTTTCCTGCGTTCAGGCAAGAAAGCTTACAGCTTGGAAGGTTGATAGTTGCCATTACAAATAAGAAAGAAATATCCCTCTTTAACTACGTTTATATGAGGCCGGTAGATTATCATCGAAACGTGCAGCAAAAGGAAGCTTGTAAATACATGTTTGCAGTCAGATATTCCTACTTGCTTTTACAACATGCATGAGGCCCCATGAAAAGGTTGAATTGCATTCTTTTTCCATCCTCCCTACCTCTTCCTCTCACTCTGTCCCTCCTATCTCCTATCCCACACAGAAATTGATAGCTCCCTTTAGGAATTTTAATACTAGTTCAAATGCCTATAAGTCAAAGAAAGGTTGGCTGTCACCTCCCTATCGCATAGCCTAGGGAAATGCTTTATACAATTATACTCTCACACTTGTAAAATAGACTATTCCAGGATTTGATTCAAATAGATCTCATAACCAAACTTTTAATTTTGTTAAGGAGAAAATGACCACAGCTCCAACTTCTTCACAAAAGATTCTTACTCATATACAGGAACATAACTTATGCCATGGAAACAAGCTGATGCTAGTAAGTAACACAAAAGAACTCTGTGTTTCTATCTAGATAATCAACTACCATTGATCTCGTTAAATTCAAAACACTAGTTCAACCAGTGCATATGCCTTGGATTCTTTAAAATCATGGGATTTTTGTTTCATGGGTTGGATATTGAACAAGACAAAAAGGATTGCTGACCACACAGAAGCAAGTGTGTATCACCAACAGTCAAAACAATATCATTCCATAAGCTGTAAGTAACATGACATAGAACAGATAGTTCAGTACGAGAGAGTTTACAGGTGACAAAGCAAATTGAGAGAAAGATAACAGTTTGGTAGTACTGCACATAAACTGAGAAAATAAGTGAGGCCAAACATTGAAAAGTTACATCAATCATCATGAAGCACTTTAAACGTAAGTGTTAAATTGCCATGTGCATACTGATCAAGAACTTAATAAGGAAAAAAGACGCATTTTCTGTTTCTAGAAAGACATTCAACATACATTCAACACCAAAAGATTCAAAGAGAGGAAAAATCCTAAGGAATCAGAAAACAGTTTACCTATGGCCAATCATGAAACGAACAACGATCCCCTTCTCTTCTTCTAATTTGACAAGTTTTTCACCTACAAAAAACCCCAAAGATACAACACAAATTCATATTAAATATTTCTGCAATTTTGAATTCACCAGACATACAGGATATGGAAATTGTAGCTACCTTGGGGCATCCATGTCTCTCTAACTGAATCACGCCTTTTCCTGCTACTAAAAGCAGTATTAATTCCAATAACTACGAACGCCTTCTTTCTTGGAACCTTCTCTTGAGAAGATGCAGAAGAAGTATCGGTTTCCCTGATGTCCTTACCGCTCCTTCTGGCTGCCAACTCCATCTGAAGCATTGAAATCGACTTATCCAATGTCCTAAAAAATTACAAGAACCCGGGTTAACAATATGAATCTCACGAAAGCAAGACCAACACAGGATTACATAAAACGAAAAACCAAACAGAGTAATTCTAGCGGTAGGAATTCCTTACTGAATCGCCTCATGGGTTTTATAAACTTCTTGGACCACATCGTTGTCCTGTTCTCCCGATTTCTATCAAACCCAAAAAATCATCTTTCAAATGCAGCTCGGACATTAATAATCCATATACTTCTTCAATTAAAGTCTAAATAATCTTTAACAAACAATTAAATCTACGTTCAGACCCCTTTTCAAGAATCGACTAAAATTGAGCTGATGTGGTATCAATAAAGCAAACCTTTTTCTTAGTATTACAGTCCTCAGAGATGATCTGAAGCTCCTGATCCCTTCTTTGTTGCCTCAGCAACTGGCTGCTCGATTCAGGCGGGACCCACCATCTGCAAAATACAGATCAACAAAATAAGAACATTAGTCCCCTGCAAACAACACAACCAAAAACATATGAAGCCAAAGAACAGCATCAAATTCAAGACTCACTTGTTTGTAAAGTGCATGCCAATAAAAAAGAAAGCAAGAGAGAAAACAGGAATCCAATGAATAGCAACTTTCCTACTGCTGCTAGTCCTGCCCTTCATTTTTACCCCCCCCAAAAAAAAAAGATGAACCCACAACAAAGCTAAAGATCAAATTTTGATGAGTATATCCTTCTGGGTTTTCTGTGATTGATTTTTTTTGGCCCCTTATGGCGGTGATGAAACTGAAGAAGAAGAGGAAGAAGAAGAAGAAGGTAGGCGGGGAAGGGTGGACTTGGAGCTTAGACTAATGGGGGAGGAGTCAGGACATTGAATTGAAGAATGTTGCTGGAAAGAAAGGAAGAATATTTTTTTGAACATTTCAAAGTATTTTGGTCGTAATCTCGTAGGCGTAGGAAGCCATCGTGAAAGTGTGTCAACAGCTGCCGAATGTCCACTTTTTTATTTATTTATTCATTCCAAGTTCATAAAACTATTCCAAAAAATTCCTGATTGTTCACACTGTAATTTTTTTTTCCCAAATTCCGATATATTAAAAAGAGATGAAAGTTTAAAACACCAATATCATTATATTTGGACTATGTTATCTTCAATATGGTGACTTTTCTAGCTCCAAAATTAGTAATTGTCATGTGCATTTCATGAAGGATTTTGAATATATAATAGGTAGTCAATATGAATTGTATGGTTAAGAAAACTTATTTAACAAAGTTTTAGAATGTGACCAAAAGTAAGGACTGATTTTATTTTTTAAGTACTCCCTTCCGGCCCTTATTATAAGACATTTTGAGTTGCCCTAAATTTCACTTAGTATGTTTTTTTGAGTGAATAATAAAAATTTAAAAAACGTTTAACATTCACTGTGTCTTTCTAGTTATTAAAAAATATTTGTAAGATTTTTTTTGATTGGAAAGACATACTAGGTGAAACTTAGAAAAAATCGAAATGACTTATAATACCGGAGGGAGTATACAAAAGTAGGCGTATTATAACCTTAGAGATGAAATATTTGGATAGTTACAAGAACAAAAAATTATTTCATGTAACATCACAGCATCACTCTCCAAATCTATGCAATTCCTAGTTGAATTTCTATACATAGCTTCTAAGGATTGTTTTCGTCACATTCTACTATTTGATCAATTTTTTTTTCCCCTTTTCAACTTGGTAAATTCTAGTTCTGCCTAATTAGTGTCCAAAGTGTCAAATTTTTATGGTCATCAATAGTTGACGGGATGGACTTGTTTGCAATTGACCAATGACCTTCCTGAAATTGGCTTTAGAGCGTGATTAGTGCAACACTTATTATGGAAACTGCCCTAACAAGTTTTTAAATTAACAAACAAACAAAAAAAAGAAAAAAGGTTTCTTTACATTCTGGAGATTTTAGTGTATTATTTAGATTGAATTTTACACTTGTGATTATCGACATGATGTGATAATTTTGTGTTCCCTTATTCTATTTTTATTATGTGAGATGGACGGACTACACAAATATTTTCAAAGCTAAAGTTAGCTTCAACTTCAGAATAATAATTATTTATAAGTCAATAATGGCCCTATGATTTTGGCAATTTTGGCAGCCAAACTTAAAACCGGCGAAGATTGTGTTGCCATGTGAGTGGCGTTGTTAGTTAGGACACGCTTTTACGCGACAAGAGAATGCATGCACTATATTTCACAAGTTTGCCTTTGTCGGTCACATTTGTGTTTTCCACCCAATAAAATTTCATTTGACAAAAACTGGGAATTAATTACGTTGAAAAAAAACTCCATTTATTATGAAACTCCAGAATCACCACTGCCAACAGATTTTTCCCCATGCATGTTCTACAATGTTTTTGTCTTGTGTTATGGTAGTAGTACTTATTACCTGCGTTCATCGTATGTAGACGCATACATAACAAACTCTGCCTCGATTTTGTTAATTCATCGATCACCATATAAGATAATAATACAACAAACTATCAGTGTTAAATTAATACTACCTCGTCCCAAAAAAAATAATTCACGTTGAGTTTTGAGTTTTATATTATTTTTAGTACAAATTTGAAAATTTAATGTGGACTTTTTTTTTTTGAGACGGAGGGAATGGTACTTATCAAAAACGAATGATCTGTCGCACATTATCTAGGACCGGCCGGGATGAATCATGCATGTGCATATATACAAGCCATCGTTGGTTAGAAGTCTATACCAATCGAAGATTTGAAGGGATTGATAAGTTTCTTTGAGTAAAACATAAACATCATGGTTTCAGAGTATTTGATGTTCATATTTTCTCTGAGTATTATACTATATCTCCGTTCTATAAAAACAGAACAAATTTGAAAACTCAATGTGAACTATTTTTATGAGACGAGAAAGTACTTATTTATTTGATGTTTTTGTTAAGTTTCTCGGAGTATTGGTTGGGTATTGGTCTTGGTTGTGCTTTGTTTTGAAACTTCTAGCACACCCAACCCTAGTATACTAGAAGACTGGTTTCAAAAAAAAATATATGTGGAGAAAAATACGATGAATGAATTTGTAAGAAAGAGGATAATAAACAATAAATACGTCCTTAAAAAAGCTAGTATTAGGAATAAAGCACTATTTCTTATATCCTTGTAATAAAGTATTTTGATTTATTGTATTTTTCCAATTGAAAATAAGTCCTTAAATATGTTTTACAATAATTAGGAGGATAACAAAATAAATATGAAAATATATCTTCAAGGTTTTTTTGAAATTAAAAAAATACTATAAACAAAAATCTATTAGAAATCGAAATACTTTATATTAAGAACTGAAGGGATTGTATTGGTTTCTCATTGAGCAGGTGACATTAAAAAAAAATGAGAGAAGAAAATGGATAGAAATTAGGATTAAATTTTTTTTTTTCACGGGACCCTTTCTATAACTTGAAATTCGATTTTAGCTTTAATTTGACATACAACTGCCAATAAAGGGGTAGCCAAGTGGTTTGGGCTTTGGCATCCAACCTGAGAGACCCAGGTTCGAACCCTGTTAATAACACTTTCAGTGTTGAGCTTGTGCAGATTTACGTACATCTGTCAGGAGGCTTTTCGAGTTCCAGATCGAGGCGTGCGGGCGTGGAGTCTTTCCCTTAGTGGTACACTTGTAATTACGTGTCAAAAAAAAAAAATTTGACATACAACTCGTGAGGCAAGTTTTTTCTTTCTTTTCCGAATTAGAAACATTACTTATTTGTCTATTCCAATTTATTATTTTTGATTGTAAAAATAGTATGGCCTTTACAGTAGGATATATAGCATGCTGAAAATTCTTCCAATTTGTTATTCTTGCAAATCATCATCTCAGCTCGGAAGGGAGAAGTGTTTCTTTGATTTCATCTGCAAAGATCCGCAAATGGCTAAAGGCAGATACGAGATAATAATGGCAATAAAAAAGGCTGAAGATTTGGGCTAATTTTCTGGGCCTAATTGTTCCAAAAATAATTAACGATGAAAGAAAGCTGTGTGGTCTTTGTTATGGGGCTGGGCTTAAAAAAGCCAATTTTTGGTTATTTGTTCGAATCTTGTGGGCTTTAAAATGAATTGCTTTTGCTTTCTGTGAAATGTATAATGATGAAATTGTTTGGTTAATTCTTCCCAAAAAAGAAATTGTTTGGTTAAGGAGTAAACCTTCCCAATTTGGGCTAAGGTTTCTATGATTAATTGACATATCATTTTTTATTTTGTTTTTTTTTTGTACAATAAAAGAGGGAAACCTAAATTATCAAATTACAACGTTTTGAATAACACGGTGTTCCAAACAAGAACATAATTCTGAAGGTGAATGTGCAGGGCGTCATTAAAATTACTATCTCTGTTCCAAAAAAAAAAAATTAGTTTACATTGAGAGCAAGGAGTATCTTTTTAGAATAGAGGAAATATATTTGATCAAGAAATGGAAGTCTATAAATCTTGATTAATCTTTTGTTTTGTAGGTAGATTCCACTCTAAAGTTCACACTAAAAGCAATCACAGTAGAGGGTGTAGTATCTGACACTACACCCACTTTTTACAATTCAACTAATGCGAAAAGTTGAGGGGGCATTAAATAGGATAGTGCAGGCAAACCACAATTTTTGGCCCACTTTTATTACATGTAACCCCTTATCAGTAGTGGTCTACTACAAACGTTTAAAGCACAAGAAGTAAAAAGAATGAAAAAAGAAGTTTGGGATCCAAAAGAACCGTGCAATCATTGTGAAAAAAAAATCAAGATAGAGAGAACGTTGAAGAATATAATGTGACGCTGACGAATTCAGTCAAAATGGGTTAGCCATTGTCCTTGCTCTAATATATACAATTTCATCCACGATCCATAATGATTTCCTTACTCAATCACCAATGTTATTGGACAACCCGACCCAAAAATTTGCCCAAAACTTTCGAACCCCAAAAATATGTCTCACCACCAATTTCCAGACCATTTCGATTAGAACCCAAGAACTTCACAAATGTGTTGCAGCGCATGAGCGCAAAAACTATTTTCATATTTTTTCAAGCCAGTCCACTCAACTAAATTGGGTTGCAACATTAACTGGATTGGAATATGTATATGAATTAATCAATATGATACCGAAAGTACGGCCCGAACCATTTTTAAATGTTCCTTCAATTTCAAGCTTCATGCATTGATCCCAAAAGTGGTTCTTGACGTCCCGCATTTGACATTTTCGCAGATTTAAAATTTCTAGGCTTAGAATCCCTCTTTAAATGCTTCGTTTGCTTAAGAAAACCAAAAAGAAGACAATTTTCATTAGAAATTGTAAATTTTTATTAGAACGATAATATTTTTTTAGGGAAGGAGGGAGAACTCTATGTACAACATATTTGAGATACGTCACCTTTCCAATGGAGTGATGAACGTTGAAATTGAATCGAAGTGATAAATTCAAAGCTAAAACCCATGAACCAATCAAGCCTCTTAATACGTATCAGTAGTAACTACAATTTGTTCATTGAAACCCTTGCACAAGAAATAACTAGCTACTTAGGGTTGACAATTACAAGTCTGGTATTGGAAGACTGATGGATCGAAGACTTTGCCAAACTTTAACCCCGAAAAAAAAAAAAAGCTTAAACACTTTTTGTACGGAAAGTACGTAGACTTGTGATTGTACATGGATCGTAAGGAAATGTACTTAGTGAGATATGGGAAGAAGCAACCAGAAGCTTGACCTAGCTAGCCTTCATGGAAATAATTTATTCAATTCTTTTTGTAGTTCAGATTCACCTTCGTTATTTTAAGCTTTTGAATTTGTGCTTCTTTTAACCCAGGAGTTAGACCTAAACTACAAAAATTTATAAGTTTTGAACCGCCTTTCTGAGTGAGATACTCTCTCTTTATTGTTAATAATTTGGTAAGACCCAATATATGAGATGCCATATCTCTATACGTACC